CGTATATTACCTTGCACTTCATAGTTAAACAATTTCCTGCGTTACAAAATATAATTAAATATAAGGATTATATAAATTTCTTTTTACATTTTTTATTCTTATTTTTATAATTTATATCATATTCTCTGAAAATCGTGATAATAAAAATATCTACCACAATAAAATATAAAATATGCGTTCAGTTAATTTTACTATGTATACATAGTAAAATTTATTAATGTACACATTTTTTATTGTGGTAAATATTCATTCATGCAGAGAAACTCTTATAAAATTCTTCCAATACCATATGGTCCTATACGATTACCATTTTCAGGGAAAATTCTAAGAAAAAATTCTTTCTGTGTATATTTATTTTCTTTTTTTAATATAATACTTAATTTACCTTTCTGTATTAATATCTACCACAATAAAATATAAAATATGTTTAGTTAATTTTACTATTTATACATAGTAAAATTTACTAATGTACATATTTATTTTTTATTGTGGTAAATATTCATTCATGCAGAAAAACTCTTATAAAATTCTTCCAATACCATATGGTTCTACGATTACCATTTCCAGGGCAAATTCTAAGAGAAAATTCTCTTACCTTTAGATTAATTCTTGATTTTTAAATATTTAAATTATTTCCAATAAATATCTATTTCACAAAATTCCATTTTCCTGCTAACAAGCACAGAACGTGCCAGCTTTTTTCCTCTCGCAAGGATATCGTTTGTCATATAGGTATATGCGTCCTCCGAAACGCGTTGTCAGCAACTAAATTCTACCAGCTCGGTCGCTTAAAAGATGAATGGACCGAGCGAGGATTCTGGGTCGCGAGCGCGAAAGAAGAATTTCTTCATTTACTAGACAACTAAAAGCCTTTCGTTTGCGAACCTACGTTCACGCCCCTCTGTAAACGTGCCACCCCGTTTCACCCTTGATGACAGCTGCGCCGCTTAAAATAGGGGTTTCTTTAGCGGTCTCGACGTGTTTGTGTATGTGGATATGAACATATGTTCGACGCATCACGCAATGATTGTCACTATAGCTTTATTTTACATATATAATCCATAAAATGGAATATTTAATTTGAATATACATTCTGCTTCTCATTAAATATTCATAAAATATATACATTTAATTTTATTAATATAATACAATATATATATTTATATTAATCAATAATATTTTTACTATTAATAAAATTAATTTAATTATTGTATATTATCTCGTACTTTTATTTCGTGACTAAATTATTTTAGAGAACTGATCAAGAATGTGGATAACGCTGAATTTACTTTAGTAAGTTTAGTACTATATATTATAAAATTGCAAAGAAATAATTAACATGAGTATTATTTTTATAGACAGTTTTTTTTGTAAAAATAGAAAAATAATTACACAATTTTTGAATGAGGAATTCATTTAAAAATTAAACATAAAAGCATATATTGCAATGCATTTTTTATTTAGTGTTCTTTAAAATCAATATAATTCTTCTTTTGCATATTAATCATGATTGTAAATTTATCGACTCTCAGTATATTTTATATTACATATACTATAATATATTTAAAATTATCAATGTTTATATGGTATAAGGAAAATGTATAATATATTATTATTCATCAATACAGTTCTATGTTGATATTAGGAATTCTATTCAGTTTTCTCGGCAAAGATCAGTTTTTCTTACAATTACTAATTTAAAATCATATTTAAAAAATATCGTTATTAAAATCAATTTATTTAATAACTAAATTTTAATATCAAAAAGAATTTTTACAGCCAAGAAAGGATTTATTACTGTTATTAATACTATAAAAAAATCAAGTTACGAGATAAGATTACTTGGCCGCGTGCAGAGAATTATAAATCCAACGAAACATTAAAACTTGAACGTTTTAGATCTCATCTAAAACGCTAAAGTGTTAAGCGATGTTATACATGTTGCGGTAGCTGCACTTGTTAATACTCTAGGAGCTTAGGTTTGCAGTAATTAGTCAGCCGCAAATGAGAGTCTCGTTTATACCGTTTTTCACATTAACACTTTTCTTTTTCTTCTCGCTTAACGAAACCTTAATAAAAAAAAAAAAACATTTGTGCAACGTGCTTTACGCGTAAATTCCAGGCGTTCTTCGTGTGTGTATTCTAGTTTTAACGCACGACCCTTTATTCCGCAAAACGAAGAACGACGCTTGCTGCACAAGCCTAAAATATACAACGGTAATAAACGAGAAGTACATATGTATATAACGTGCGGAATTTATTGTCGTGGCTTATTCAATAATTTTCTTTTTATACGCGTTCACGTTGCGCATTCTGCTGGGCCCTGTTAGCATTATGGTGTCATCTCATGGTAGAGATAAGGAGATAACTGATCCGAGAACTGGAACTCGTCACTGGCGAGCCAGATACCTGGAGCGTTGACGAGATTAAAATAAAACGCACTTTGAGTATTTTTTTTATTTAATTCTTTTCACAAAAAAAGTCCTCGAAATAAAAGCGAGCAGTTGCACTTCTTGAAAAAAATTCATTCTTTCACGTCCAAAAAATTCCTAACGACGAGATTGCTCTATTATACTAACGAGCCGAGGAACGCGAGAAACATGAGAATAATTACTTCGGACAATGTGATGTGAAATTTTCCTTAACGAATGTATCAAGGAAATGATGTGAAAACATTACATTAACTGTAAGATAAAAATTATAAATTACTTATATTGAGGAAATTTTGATGAATGATAGACGGTTAAAATACGAGTTAAAATATTACGCAAATTAAATCGAAGATTATTTGTTATCAATGAAATTTACGCGATAAAATCTGTTATTTTTGCTGAACAAACATGATGCATTTCGTGCAAAGGAAAAATCATTCGACTGATTTAAGAAAAACCTATTAAATGTCAATAATTGGAATGTTGCATCACTATATAAACAGCATCTAGACAGCATCCAGACTTTCAGTGCCTATCAGTCAGTGTCTCCCTAGCTAAATCGATATTTAAACGACCCAGGTGTGACACAATCGAACGATAGTCCGTTCTTAGGACGATCTACTAACGATACGGCGTGACTGATTGTGCACCATGTATGCACGCGATTAGAAGCAGACCAGTGCATCATGCGGTGTGCATCGGCTCGGAATGAATTATTGACTGAAAGGTAAACAACGGGCGGAAAACTACTCATCGCTCACGATAACCATCGGTCCGTAAACAGTCATTATTTACACATTCTAGGAATTGTTTTTCCTCTACAGGGATACTCGATATAAATTTGTTTCGTAAAGCATTGTATTTTTAAACGATCTATAATTATGATATTATAAATTCGTATTATATACATCTCAGGTAGAAATTTTGTCTGGAAATAATCAGGGCTCCATATATTCTTTTAAAAATATTTCTGCAATCCAGATGAAAAATCTAACTAGAACCTGTGTAAAGTTTGGGACGTCTAAATCGTACAAGCCTTATTGCAGAATCCGGGTGGGCTCAAGATTACTCCCAGAATTTGTAGAAAAATTATTTGGAGTCTAACTAGGATTTATAATTTTTTTAAATATTTGCTTGATTTGTATTATAATTATTTCTATAAACTAGATTATTCAATCCTGATTAAGCTAGATTATTCAGCCCCATATATAGTTTCATATTTATTCTAATTTGGGAAAAATATGTCAGTGGCGATCTAGAACCCATGCAGATTTTTCCGCTAATTTTTTTCTTTTGTAAAATAAAGGTAAATTTCTAGGGTGTATTCTGGACTTAGACAGATATTTCAAACTGGATTTTTTTACTTAGGCCATGTATTTAATCTCGGCAAATCGAGACAGATTTCTGGAATCCGTGGACAAATATATTAAAAATTTTTTGGATATTTTTAATCTTAATTATTATTAATATATTATTAATCAAAAATAGGATCTTCGATTTATATTTTGTGTATATTACATGTACATATATTATTTATTTATTTCCTAAAAATTATTAATGAGGATATTTTTTTTTCAAACGCTCCACTTTTCGACTTGAAACCCGCTCGGCAACATGTCCCTCGATTAAATAGTCGGTTCACGGGAAACGAGAGGTTGTGGCACAAACCGGCAGTGCGCCCGTTGTGTCAGGATCATCGGAGCGTGGAACGTCCGGTAGGTCTCCAGGAGAAGGGTATATACATGCATGTGACTCGGCACCTCGGCATCCACGGCCGTTCGTTCGCATTCCTTCCTCTCATTCGTCGGTCTTTTTGGAGCACCGTAAATTATTATACGTCTCGCGGCCGCAATGACTCACAATGTCAGTCAGCCATACGAAATTCACGTGTAATAACACGATCGACCCGAATTTATATATATAAGAACAAATATATTTGTCTAATTTATATATAGGTATTTGCAAAATATCTAAATTTTCACGTATTTTATCATTTGTTTACGCACTGAACAAAATTTGGGTAACTTGACCAAACCTTTCAACTAAATTATTATTTTGTTAATTGAACATATTTTAGTATTTAAATCAAGTTTTGTTAGCTTTAATATGTTATATTTTAATTCAAATATTTTGATATGTTCAGTCAAGTTAACCAATTTTTTTTCAGTGCACACAGAAAATTTACTCTAATAAAAATTATGGGACAATATGGTTGGAAGAATTAGTAAGAGTTTCTTTGATTAATAGTTATCACAATAAAAATATATAAAATTAATTACAATAAGATATAAAATATGTTTGATTAATTTTACCGTGTGCATAATAAAATTTACTATGTACATATTAATATTTTTTATTGTGATAAATATTAATCAGAGAAACTCATAAAATTCTTTCAGTACCATATTGTTTTGCGATTACAATGATTTTCAGGGTAAATTCTAAGAGAAAATTCTCTTTGTGCAACTTTATCTGAGATTAATCTCATTGAAAAGAGATTTTTCAACGAGATTGGCTTGAAAAAGAAAAGAAGAATCGCCGAAACATCTTTCATTTTTTTGTTCACAGAACCACTCCAGGAGCCACGTTTTACCAGTCAGCTTTCCAGCAGTGGCAATATACTTAGCGAGAATCGCACAAAGTTTCTGCAATGTCAAGCAAGAGGTGAGAATTGCAATCTAACATGAAAATTTTTTCCAACTACGTACTTGATGATTTCTTCACGTAAGAATAATAGTTTCTTGAAAATTAATTTGCGAGTAAATTTGAATACACTAGCTAAAATTTTTGAACTTGTCATTTGATTTTTTCTTGCAAAATAAATTGTACTATATTATTTCTATATAAAAATTTTAGACAATGAGATTCAGAAATACTGTAAGAGTTCAAGTTTTATTCTTTTAATGAAAATAATGAAAATTTTAGAAATAATCAAGTGATAAATTATTTACATTCTGTTTAGTATTAATATTTGCTCATTTTATCATTTTCGATTGAATTATTCCATCACATATTATCGATTGATATATAAATTCTAAAGAACTCATCTCAAAATCACGTTATACTTAAAAATATTTCAATATTAGTAAATTAATGAAAAAAATGAAAGAAAAAGGATATATATAAAGATCGCAGCAGCAATGAGAGGATAAAGTTCACTGCGTAAGGCGTTCCATTGTCCAGTAGAAATATCGAATAACGAGCGGATGAGACGGTGACCAGATGAAGCCTCACCAATGCCCTGCACCGTAATTCGATCGTATGACCCTGTACTAATGATATTAGACAGTCTAACACCGTCGTCCGTGACTTTGCAAATGAGAGAATCACGTTTAAATCACATCTATATACCATTTTATATAAAGAATGTTCGAAAAAAGACTATCCTACACATTTCTCGATGTTCTTCACGCAAATTAAAAATTCAGATTAATCTAAACTTAAAAGAAAAATTATTTGTAACAACGAGCAAACATTTTATGTCGCCATTTCCACAGGCAATCCTCAACCAAAATACCAATGGTTCAAAGACGGGATGCCCCTCAGTGAACTCACTTCCGAGCCTTTCTACCGTATACCGAGCACACGACGAGAGGATGCTGGAGTTTATTACTGTGTCGCGACGAACGATGTGGGGTCCATATTCAGCGATCGTCTCGCCTTTACCGTAGCTTGTAAATATCTCGAATTGTATAGATCCAATTTGGTAGATTTTCTTTCAAATTACTGATCACGACGATATTTAATCTGCTCTTAGATATGGGAGTGTTTGACGATCTCACGGAGAAAGTGGTGACCGTCGAGTCGGGTAGTGCTGCGATTCTGGAATTACCCCCGATCGAGAGCCATCCTACTCCACAGGTAACGTGGTCCTCCACGAAAGGAATGCCTTTGTATGGTGTTAAATACGCAATAATCCATCAGAGGCTGCTAATATTAAATGCTTCGGAAAGCGACGAAGGTTCCTATAGGTTCGTATAATTTATCACTTCATTTATTTCTCGATAGACACATAGAATTGTTCCGAAGTTATGGATGAAAGAATGTTCTTTTTGTACAATTTTGAAACTTCAAAACTTTGCAAAGATTTAAAGATTTCACTTCGTCATCTGCAGTTGCAGAAAGTTTGAGAGCTATGAGAGAAAATTCTAATGAACTCTGACAAGTTTAAACTCGAGTTTTTCTGACGATTTATTATATGTGCACAGAGCAAAGGCTATCAACACCCAATTAGGCAAGGAGGAGAATAGTCCGTTTTTCAAGTTGCAAGTCATCGGCGATCCATATGCAGAAGTGGCTCCTACCGTAATCGTCAAGCCGCAGGACACGCAGATAATCAAAGATCAAGCTGCCACGTACATAAACTGCATCGCGAATACCAGGTAATCGAAAATCTTTCTGTATTATCTTTATTATGCTATGTACGATCTTTCTTTTTTTTGGTGTTTGTTGTAATTTGGAAAGATTTAAGTAACAAACGAAACTATATCCATTTTAGATCACTTTATGAGTTACGAACCTTGTGGATGAAAGACGGCATTCCGATCGAGAACTCTGGGATATTGTATAATCTTATTGCGTTTAATAGAACCCTCGAATTACTCTCAGCCAAAATAACTTACACAGGGATATATTCTTGCCATGTGGATTTGAGGAGCGGTGATTATCCGACTGTAAATGCGAGCGCCAAGATTGTCGTATACGGTAAATATAATCCAGTGTAAATAAGTAATGTGTGAATAATTGAATGAAATAGCAATTGTAATATAAATTCATCACGCGGCTATTTAAAAAAAAAATGATACGACATTATCAATCATACATCATTACAATACACAGCTAAAAATTATTAATTTTTTTAAAAATAATAAATTAGACAAAGAAGTCACGAATTAAAGTATGTTAACAAGCACATAAATTTCTGCTTTTTTGCATGAAATTCTCGTTATATCTTTTTATATTTATACTTTTCTGTATATTTAGAAAAACCAACATTTGTAACGGAATTAAAGAGGGAAACCCTGAGCGATTACGGATCCACAGTAACGTTACCGTGCGAGGTTAACGGCATACCGCCTCCTATAATCAGTTGGTTCCGTAATGCCGAGCCCGTCGATCATTTGCTGGGAACCAGGTATGTTTTGGCAAATATTTACAATCCGAGAAAGAAAGAGAGTGTGTGTATGTGTATTTTACCTATTTTAACTTTGATCATGTAAATTTGAAATAGTAGTAGCTATTTTTTTTACATAAAAGATATATTTTCCGGTTATATAAGCTGGGTATATTTTAATACATTTTTTTATTACATATTAAAAAATATATACATATTAAAAAGGAATTACATATTAAAATTGATATTTTTATAAAGTAAAAAAAAGATTAAAATATTTAGAGAGTATTTTACAATTTTAAATGTTTAAATCTGTTTTTAAAGATTCGAAATTTATACGATAATTATGTATAATTGAACATGTTTTGTAGATACACAAAGGAGGAGGATGGCTCGTTGACGATTAAAAAATTAACTATGGACGACTCGGGAATGTTTCAATGTCTCGCGTCTAACGATGTCGGCGAATCATCTAGTTACACATGGCTGAAGGCGAAAAGTGAGTAGTTGTGTAGAATATGATATTGCATCGCGATATTTTAATAGCAATCATTACCCAGTCCGTACACAAAAGATGTTCGCGAAACATGCGATGAAATCGTTCTGGCATTATTAGCAAATTACAATTTGTGATTTTAAATGTGTCATTAAAAATGGCATTCTTGTCTTTTTTCTGTTCATCAACATATACATTATATAACATCAATAATTTATTAATAAAGACATTGTTTAGCTATTATAGAAGTATGATGTAAATATAATATGTTGCATATAAATATTTTAATTAATAAATGTAAGGTTACGAAAAGAGATGTCCGCGAATAGCGTTTTTCGCGAACGCTTTGCGAAATAATGTCGCAAACAGGGTTAATACATATGACGTGTTTTTTGTGTGCGGCACAGAAGGATTAGGAAGCGGATTGAGAAACAGAGTTGCCCGCTGGGCGGCTGGCTACAATGTAGTCAGAGTTCGCCAGTCTGACCACCGTTTTATGTTCTCTCATTATCCAGACAGTAAGAATATTGCTGCGAAATTTTTTCACTTTTCTTTTCCATTATTATTCTCGGCACATGCTTGTGAAGACTGCGTATAAAGTTTCACGTTTCACGATTTTTTTGCTTCTTTTAGTAATAAATGTTTTCATAAGACAAGCGCACTATGTCGAATATAACAATATTTTAGATGAATTATTATTATTTTAATTGTTTAGAGTTTAGAGTGTTTTAACGACAAACATTAAAAAATCTATAGCTCTTTGCTTTTTTATATGATTAGTTATTTAGTGGTCTTAAGTAGTTTAGTGTTTCTATTTTTAAATTATATTTAATGAATGACATATGATACTTTAGAAGAATTATCAAATAAAACGACTATTGTGTTTTAATATAACTATATTGGCACGCATATATATATCTGCGGCATTGCAAGTAACATCGACACGCACGTCTTGGTCTCCCCAAATATGTTATAGATTAGAAATATATTTCCAATAATATCTATTTTGAATTATGGATGTTTGAAAAATGACAAGCATCGTACTAAGCATTTAGTGATTATTTTACATAGCATTTATCGTGAACCAGCCTGTATTTAGTTTGCGTAGTTTTGCTATTGAATATGTGTTTGTGTTTTGCTTTAAAGAAATAAGCTTGTTTTCGAAAATCAGTGTAAAGAAATAGAGAAAGAGTGAGAATTACGGTGGGTTTAATATATATTGCAAGCGACAATTGTTCACCCTTTTTTCATTTGCACGTTGTGAGAAAGCATTAAAAATCAATTCGACATTAATGACAAAATTTCTGTAATTTGCAGCATCTGGACCGATTATGGAAAATGGTCCACGTGATTTAACAGTATTGGATGGCAAAGATGCGACTTTAACTTGCTATGCTGTAGCGGCGCCTAAACCAAACATTACCTGGTATTATAATGGTAAGTAAATCAAAGATTTAATTGTTTATTATTATATATAATTTATATATTATTTTATATTTTAACATAAAATCATTCTGTTGCTAAAAAATATTTATTCTTTATAAAATTAAAATAAAACAGATTGCTTCTTTCTATGTAAATTATTGCAAGAAGCATCTACATTTACATATTGCAACAAATTACAATATGAAAATCTAATTGCAACAGACACGACACCTGTGGAAATCGCCGGGAGAGTACAAGTCTTGGACAATGGTGATCTTTTAATCGCAGCGGTAAAATCGTACGACGCGGGAAAATATACTTGTATCCGTGCAAATGAAGCCGGCTCTGTCAATGGATCGGCATATTTGACTGTTATGGGTAATTATTAAAATAATTATTAAAATAGTTTTGAGACTTGCATTACATTATATGTATATCAAAAATTATCTTTATATTTATTATATTAAAATTAAATTTTCCTATATAAAAATTCTTTTAAATAAAAGTTGATAAACTCAGTCTGAACTCTATTTATAGCTATATTGTATGTGTATATACATTTATTATATATCTCTTTGTTAGTTCGGACGCAAATTATCCAACCACCTGTTGATACATCAGTGCTTCTCGGACACACTGCCGAATTACAGTGTAAAATCTCGAACGATCCAAACGTCGTGTATGATATGGCATGGTTTCATAATGAACAGTACGTATATGACAAGAAATATCATATATTTTTGTAATATTAATACTTTAATATGATTTATAAATTCAAAATCTTATAAATCAGAAATCTAACATGAATTAAATTTTTACAAAACTTAAATGTGATCAAAATATGTTATATTCTTTGAAGCGTGAAATTAAAATCTGATAAATTTAAAATACAAATTGTTTGCATTATACATTTTAAATTATTTATATATTTTTTTCTGTTATAAAAATTTCACAGATTTAACTGTAATTGTTGATCATTATCGAAATATGCCAGCAAAACTGTTTTAATTAAAAAAATGAATGAGATTTCTCTCTACATAACTCTTTTGTTTGAAAATTTCAAAATGATACATTTGTTGTTACAGAGTAATAAACACACAAGCGAGTCAAAGAGTGAAAATGCGACCAGACGGGACTCTTGAGATTGTCGCTGTTCGAGCTTCCGACGTAGGGGACTACACGTGTTCTGTGGTGTCACCAGGTGGAAACGAGACTCGATCCGCTCGCCTGAGTGTGATCGAATTGCCATTTGCACCGATCAACGTTGTAGCTACTCGAGTGGAGCGGATCTCACCGCGCACGATTAATGTCACTTGGGTGCCTGGTTTCGACGGTAACAGTCACACGAAGAAATTCATCATCCAGAGACGAGAAGTATCCGCCGATTCAGGTAAGTGTAATTAATAAATTTAGGTATGCAAGAGTGCTATTATTATATCTTCTAATTTATAAAATATGTATTTCTTCAGGTCTTGTAAACATTGTTATTAAATATAAGAGTTTTAACAAGGCTCTGTAATATAAATATAAATTTAACGTATAAGACGGGCAACAAGAGCCAAATCGCGGATGACAATGCGTTATCCTAACGAAACTAAATAATTTTTCGTTAGAATTAAATACCGGTGCACAAGGCACCAAATTTTTACTTGGACACGGCCAAGATTTTAAATATGAAATAATCTCATATTTTGAGATTTAATTTCAATACCCCTTTTAACCCCCCTACGGAAAATAAATAAATGAATGCAAGAGAAAAATATAGATCCGAAAATCGCTGAATCGGGAAACGAACCCGAGACCTTTCGCTTGCCGGGCGACTGCTCTTCCAGCTGAGCTATTCAGATCCTTTCGATTCTATACTTTTCTCTGTTATATATATTAATGTTGGTAAACAAACGCATTTTTTAAGCCAGCGTGTATCAAATATAAGAGTTTTAACAAGGCTCTGTAATATAAATATAAATTTAACGTATAAGACGGGCAACAAGAGCCAAATCGCGGATGACAATGCGTTATCCTAACGAAACTAAATAATTTTTCGTTAGAATTAAATACCGGTGCACAAGGCACCAAATTTTTACTTGGACACGGCCAAGATTTTAAATATGAAATAATCTCATATTTTGAGATTTAATTTCAATACCCCTTTTAACCCCCCTACGGAAAATAAATAAATGAATGCAAGAGAAAAATATAGATCCGAAAATCGCTGAATCGGGAAACGAACCCGAGACCTTTCGCTTGCCGGGCGACTGCTCTTCCAGCTGAGCTATTCAGATCCTTTCGATTCTATACTTTTCTCTGTTATATATATTAATGTTGGTAAACAAACGCATTTTTTAAGCCAGCGTGTATCAAATATAAGAGTTTTAACAAGGCTCTGTAATATAAATATAAATTTAACGTATAAGACGGGCAACAAGAGCCAAATCGCGGATGACAATGCGTTATCCTAACGAAACTAAATAATTTTTCGTTAGAATTAAATACCGGTGCACAAGGCACCAAATTTTTACTTGGACACGGCCAAGATTTTAAATATGAAATAATCTCATATTTTGAGATTTAATTTCAATACCCCTTTTAACCCCCCTACGGAAAATAAATAAATGAATGCAAGAGAAAAATATAGATCCGAAAATCGCTGAATCGGGAAACGAACCCGAGACCTTTCGCTTGCCGGGCGACTGCTCTTCCAGCTGAGCTATTCAGATCCTTTCGATTCTATACTTTTCTCTGTTATATATATTAATGTTGGTAAACAAACGCATTTTTTAAGCCAGCGTGTATCAAATATAAGAGTTTTAACAAGGCTCTGTAATATAAATATAAATTTAACGTATAAGACGGGCAACAAGAGCCAAATCGCGGATGACAATGCGTTATCCTAACGAAACTAAATAATTTTTCGTTAGAATTAAATACCGGTGCACAAGGCACCAAATTTTTACTTGGACACGGCCAAGATTTTAAATATGAAATAATCTCATATTTTGAGATTTAATTTCAATACCCCTTTTAACCCCCCTACGGAAAATAAATAAATGAATGCAAGAGAAAAATATAGATCCGAAAATCGCTGAATCGGGAATCGAACCCGAGACCTTTCGCTTGCCGGGCGACTGCTCTTCCAGCTGAGCTATTCAGATCCTTTCGATTCTATACTTTTCTCTGTTATATATATTAATGTTGGTAAACAAACGCATTTTTTAAGCCAGCGTGTATCAAATATAAGAGTTTTAACAAGGCTCTGTAATATAAATATAAATTTAACGTATAAGACGGGCAACAAGAGCCAAATCGCGGATGACAATGCGTTATCCTAACGAAACTAAATAATTTTTCGTTAGAATTAAATACCGGTGCACAAGGCACCAAATTTTTACTTGGACACGGCCAAGATTTTAAATATGAAATAATCTCATATTTTGAGATTTAATTTCAATACCCCGAGATTTAATTTCAATTTCCCGATTCAGCGATTTTCGGATCTATATTTTTCTCTTGCATTCATTTATTTATTTTCCGTAGGGGGGTTAAAAGGGGTATTGAAATTAAATCTCAAAATATGAGATTATTTCATATTTAAAATCTTGGCCGTGTCCAAGTAAAAATTTGGTGCCTTGTGCACCGGTATTTAATTCTAACGAAAAATTATTTAGTTTCGTTAGGATAACGCATTGTCATCCGCGATTTGGCTCTTGTTGCCCGTCTTATACGTTAAATTTATATTTATATTACAGAGCCTTGTTAAAACTCTTATATTTGATACACGCTGGCTTAAAAAATGCGTTTGTTTACCAACATTAATATATATAACAGAGAAAAGTATAGAATCGAAAGGATCTGAATAGCTCAGCTGGAAGAGCAGTCGCCCGGCAAGCGAAAGGTCTCGGGTTCGATTCCCGATTCAGCGATTTTCGGATCTATATTTTTCTCTTGCATTCATTTATTTATTTTCCGTAGGGGGGTTAAAAGGGTATTGAAATTAAATCTCAAAATATGAGATTATTTCATATTTAAAATCTTGGCCGTGTCCAAGTAAAAATTTGGTGCCTTGTGCACCGGTATTTAATTCTAACGAAAAATTATTTAGTTTCGTTAGGATAACGCATTGTCATCCGCGATTTGGCTCTTGTTGCCCGTCTTATACGTTAAATTTATATTTATATTACAGAGCCTTGTTAAAACTCTTATATTTGATACACGCTGGCTTAAAAAATGCGTTTGTTTACCAACATTAATATATATAACAGAGAAAAGTATAGAATCGAAAGGATCTGAATAGCTCAGCTGGAAGAGCAGTCGCCCGGCAAGCGAAAGGTCTCGGGTTCGTTTCCCGATTCAGCGATTTTCGGATCTATATTTTTCTCTTGCATTCATTTATTTATTTTCCGTAGGGGGGTTAAAAGGGGTATTGAAATTAAATCTCAAAATATGAGATTATTTCATATTTAAAATCTTGGCCGTGTCCAAGTAAAAATTTGGTGCCTTGTGCACCGGTATTTAATTCTAACGAAAAATTATTTAGTTTCGTTAGGATAACGCATTGTCATCCGCGATTTGGCTCTTGTTGCCCGTCTTATACGTTAAATTTATATTTATATTACAGAGCCTTGTTAAAACTCTTATATTTGATACACGCTGGCTTAAAAAATGCGTTTGTTTACCAACATTAATATATATAACAGAGAAAAGTATAGAATCGAAAGGATCTGAATAGCTCAGCTGGAAGAGCAGTCGCCCGGCAAGCGAAAGGTCTCGGGTTCGTTTCCCGATTCAGCGATTTTCGGATCTATATTTTTCTCTTGCATTCATTTATTTATTTTCCGTAGGGGGGTTAAAAGGGGTATTGAAATTAAATCTCAAAATATGAGATTATTTCATATTTAAAATCTTGGCCGTGTCCAAGTAAAAATTTGGTGCCTTGTGCACCGGTATTTAATTCTAACGAAAAATTATTTAGTTTCGTTAGGATAACGCATTGTCATCCGCGATTTGGCTCTTGTTGCCCGTCTTATACGTTAAATTTATATTGTTATTAAATATATATTCAAAAAATACAGATTGCTTTACAATAAAATAAATATAATAGGAAAAGAATAGATAAATCTAATAGAAAATTGAGGACTATTCTATATATTATAATTATGTAATATTTTATTACAAATAGGACTTCTGACCAGCCCGTTACAAAATTGGGTCACTGAACGCGACAATGTGTCGGCGACAAGCCGATGGGTATTATTGAATAATTTAAAAGCTGCGGCATCTTATCAATTCCGCGTCAGCGCTGAAAATAGTGTCGGCGAAGGTCCATCGTCTGCACCTAGCGACGTCGTTGTCCTACCCCAAGAACGTAAGTGATTAGAAAAAGAATGACGATGCAGATGTAATATCATATTTTTGTCGAAATAAACTAAAAACCGATTCCTGATTATACATATATCGATTTAATTTGATTGTGTTTTGATAATTAGCTCCTAATGGTCCACCGGTCGGCTTCGTTGGGTCGGCACGTTCGTCGTCGGAAATAATAACTCAGTGGCAGCCTCCGTTGGACGAATATCGAAATGGCCATATTTTAGGATACATATTGAGATATAGGCTGCACGGATACAATGACAGTCCGTGGACGATGCAAAATATCACCAACGAAGCGCAAAGAAATTATCTTATTACTGATTTAATTACGTGGAAGGATTATGAGGTACAAATAGCGGCTTACAACGATAAAGGTGTAGGCATATACACCAAGGGCTTGCAGATTAAAACCAAGGAAGGAGGTATAATTAATCGATATGTGTACAAAGCATTGTTTATAATAATGATTCTAAAGATCATTAAAAATTAATTAAGATGTTATAATTCTTATTTATTACTTTTGAGGAAGGAGACACTTTAATTTATATAATTATTATATTATAATACGAAATTAAGATATTACAGTATTATAAATTACAATTAGAATATTAAAGTTTTAAAATATTTCTTAGAGAGAAATATTATAAAAATATAAATTAGAGTTAATAATATAGAAATATAAATTTTATATAGTTCCGGAAGCACCACCTACAAATGTAAAAGCGGAAGCAGTTAATTCAACGGCGGTGAAAGTTTGGTGGAAGCCACCGAATCCGCAAAAGATCAACGGAATAAATCAAGGATATAAATTGCAAGCTTGGTTTGGCGGCAATTTTACGGAAGCGACCGAGTATAAATCGATGACTGTACCACCTAGTTTATTTGATCCGCTCGCCGAACAGAGCGCTATTATGACGGGTTTAAGGAAGTACACCATGTATAATATCACAGTACTTTGCTTCACCGATCCGGGTTATGGTGAAAGAAGCTCGCCCGTTGAAATACGCACTTGCGAAGATGGTACGTTTACTTTACTATGGAATTAATTTAAACAGATTAATAATTTTTTAATATTTAAAAATAATTATAATTTACAAAATGAATTATATTTTTTGTATTTCTTATTTCTTTTTATACAATATTAAAGAAATAAAAAGAAAATTATTCTTGTAGATATTATATGTATGGAGCATTGTTCGTCTTTAAATATTTATTATTTATTTTTTAGTACCTGAAGAAGTGGAGAATTTACAATTTGAAGACATCAGCGATCGCGCGTTAACAGTTAAATGGAGTCCCCCTAAAGAAACTAATGGCATATTGACACATTATCAACTGAAATATATGATTAAAGAGGTTCCTGATTCTTTGCGTGTCGAAAACTTCACAGCTGATGTGTTGTCGACAAAAGTAAAGCATCTACAGGTAATTATCGGTTTCAAGCAACATTAAATTAATCTAAATTAAAAAAAAAAATCTAAGAATTTACAAAATAAAAAAAAATTACTCTAGATTTACAATAAAAGTGCGAAAAAGAAAAGAAAAATAAAATTCTAGGAGTAAAATATATATCTTATTTATTATTTACTATTGTTTCTTTTAGGCATTGACTCATTACAAATTTGAAGTTACTGCGTGGACATTGACTGGACCAGGAAAACCAAAAATAGCGACCATACAATCAGGCGTAGAACCGGTGCTACCAGAACCGCCTACAAAATTAGCATTGTCCAACATAGATGCATTCTCCGTTGTGTTACAATTCACGCCAGGATTCGATGGCAATTCATCCATCACTAAATGGACAGTGCAGGTTGGTTCAATTTAAAATTAACTCTTATTTTCAAAATGTCAAAGAAAATTATTATTTGCCACATCTTTTTGCTTCAACATTTCATGAATTTTTTAAAAATATATTTTTAAGTCATATGATGATATCGTTATTTATTTGCTTAATATCTGAAAAGTCTTTTATTTTTGATACTTCTAATTTTATGTTTTTAAGTTACAATCAAACAGGAAGATATCTAATATGCTAGAGTTACGTGATTAATAAAAGATAAAAGAAAGAAATTAATTTTCCTTAATTTCTCGAAGGCACAAACGGCGCGAAATTCGACGTGGTACAATATCTACGAGGTATCTGATCCTGATGCCAGTACGGTCACCGTCGACGGTTTGACTCCCTTTATGCAATACAAGCTTCGTTTAATCGCGAACAACGTTGTTGGTGCATCGCAACCTTCCGAATCGACCAAGGAATTCCAAACGATTCAAGCACCACCCTCTTATCCTCCGAAGAACGTGACGGTTCGCGCGATGAACGCTACTGAATTACGCGTCAGATGGATCGTAAGTGATTCATTATGTAACTTTCATATCAATTATTACTAAAAAGATATTGTATTAAGTCTTAGTACAATATCTTATTAATTGAGATGAGTTTTAGTACAATATCTTATTAATTGAGATGTGAACATAAGATTATCATCTATATATAACTTTCTGCGTAGCCGTTGCAACAAATAGAATGGAATGGAAATCCACGAGGATACAACATCACGTACACGGAAGTGCGTTCAAACATTTCGAAAAGTGTCACAATCGAAGATCCCACTGCAAATTCATATGTTTTGGAGAATATGGAGGAATTTGCTGATTATGAGATAATGATGCAGGCATTCAACGATGTCGGTTCTTCAGCAGCAAGTCCAAAGGCCATCGAACGAACTCGCGAATCAGGTAAGACTGTTATGATTAATTTACCTATGGTGAAAAAATAAATTTGTGAAAAGTGACTAAATCAGTTAAAAACAATGATAAATTATTAAATTAAGGCCATGTGTAACGAGCAATACGATATTATTTTATTATTGAGAAGAAAATTCTTAATTTAAAATAATAATTGTACAAACGTTTCGAGCTCTACTTGCTCCTCTTCAGTGCGCAAAAAAATAGTGATAATAAATAACGATAATAAATAAATACATAAAATTCTAATAAAAAATCCGCAATACATAGTCAATATAAGTTATATAGTTAAAACGCAAAATATATTTACAATGAATTGAGACCATTAAAATAGTTCAACAAAGTAAGAACCCAATTAGAAGCAGAATGATTCGTCCGGTTATTCATAAAATATATTAGAATTATTAATAAAAACTTGGAGTGACACTTATATATTGCTCCAAATGAACCACTTATCGTTATTTGACGAAAGTCCCTCGATCTGGCAATGATTATGTTCATTCTCTCCAAATTATTTGATATTTGTTAACTGAATTTAAAGAATTTATTCAATTGTAAAATAGGATTCCACTAATGTGTATGTGAAAAAAGATTAAAAATTATAAATTAAACTAACTACTAAAATATTGAACCTTTATGCTTACAAATTGTTCCGAATAACTTGAGATGACAATGCTTCTAACTGTTGTTGGCCTTATTGTTAGTACTTGACTGTTGTCTAGTCTTTTAAAAAGTCGAATAAATAGGTGTCAGTTCTCACAAAATAAACATATTACATAAGTCTAAAAATTCGATATTTCTTCTAGAATGTCGAAATACGCGTTGTTAAGCAATTCCGTGTCTGTGTTATTATTTATACCATGCCTTTGTTCCTTGATGTGTATCATTTCCGAGATAAGTCTTTTATAATAATTAGATTCAATATCAAGTATTTTAACGTTATCCCAATCAAAAGCATGTTTTTTTTCTATAATATGTTCAGAGACCACAGAATGCTTGGAGGAATCAAATTTAATATTATTCATATGCTCTTTTAGTCTAGTGCGTAATTTTCTTTTGGTTTGCCCAACATACGAAGCTTCACAATCCTTACAATTAATTTTGTAGACAACATTATTATTATTGTTATGCACGTTTTTGTCCTTGTGGACTTTAATTAATTTGTTAAGATTATTTAGACAACGGTATCCTACTCTGAAATCTGATTTTTTTATTGTCGATGCTATTGTCTCAGAAATGTTATTAATGTATGGAATGACGAAAAATTTTTCTTGCTATTATCTTCTGCAATTTCTTTTTTCTATTGTTGTTAAACTGACCATTGTTTAAAACTCTTATTCTCTTATTTATTTCTTTAAAGATTAAATGAATAGGGTAACCGTTGTCCAATAATATTTTAATACACAGTTCTAAATTTTTCTTATGATACAATATGGGATGAGATAATAACAATGCCCTATTAATAAGATTATAAATTACTCCTATTTTATGGCACATAGGGTGACTCGATAAAAAAGATAGTACTCTACCTGAACATGTCTTTTTTTGAAACCAATCTAAGTGTATGATGTTGTCTATTATTTTAATGTTTAAATCTAGAAAATTTATGCTTCTATTAATTTCGTATTCAATCGTAAATTGTAGTCGTTGATTGTAACTATTAAACTTATTCAATACGCTATCAATTTTATTCTTTGGTGCCACCATAATAATGTCGTCTACATATCTATAATATATTCCAATACCGATGTCCAATTCATTAATTATTGATTCTTCAAGATCTTGCATAACAATATTAGCAATTATTGGCGATAACGGGGAACCCATAGGTGTGCCATAAACTTGCTTGTATACAATGTCATTGAATGTGAAGTATGTTGACGACAATATAAATTTAACCATGGAAATGAATTCATTTTTTGGAATTAATGTATGTGTATTGATATAATTCCATCTATTGCTCACACTTTCTATTGCAAGATCTATCGGAATGTTAGTGAATAGTGAAACCACGTCTAATGATATTAGAATATCTTCCGCACCAATTTTCTTACCCGCTAGCTTGCTGTAAAGTTCAAAACTATTATTTACATTACTTTTTCCCGTAGGAATACTATTTGAAATGATTTTATGTAAAAATGTGGCTATCGAGTAAAGCGTGGTATTAATTGATGACACAATTACTCTAAATGGAGTATTCTCCTTGTGTATTTTTGGGAGACCATAACATTTTGGAAGAAGGGAGTCGCTGGAACGTAGTGAGTAATATTCTTTATTAGAAATGTACCCTTTTTTTGCCATTTCTTAAGAATATCGTTTAGTTCCTTTTCTATTTTGGAGGATGGGTTCTTTTTTATGATAGAATAGGTGCTATTGTCTTCAAGTAAACCTTCCATCTTATTCGTGTAATATTCTTTTGTCATCGCGACTGTTACGTTGCCCTTATCAGCCCTTGTAAAAAGAATATCCGGATTATCATGGCAAAACCTCCTTGTATATTTATACATACTAATCAAATCTTCATGAGTTGAATTAAACTTAGTTTTGCCGCGGATTTTTTATTAGAATTTTATGTATTTATTTATTATCGTTATTTATTATCACTATTTTTTTGCGCACTGAAGAGGAGCAAGTAGAGCTCGAAACGTTTGTACAATTATTATTTTAAATTAAGAATTTTCTTCTCAATAATAAAATAATATCGTATTGCTCGTTACACATGGCCTTAATTTAATAATTTATCATTGTTTTTATTGTCATACGAGCTTGAGCATTGGTATGTGATGTTTTGATTAGGTATAAATCAGTTAAACTTTTTTTTTAAATTCGAAGATATATATTGCCAACATATCTTTCAGTTCCTTCTCTGGGACCGATCAACGTAGAGGCGAACGCGACATCCTCTACGACTATTCTGGTACGATGGGGCGATGTTCCTGTGGAACATCAAAATGGACAAATCGAAGGCTTTAAAGTCTATTATGGCGCGAATACCAGATCGTCTTTCCAATACAAGAATATTCCCAGCAACACCACCTTTACGACTACTCTAACGGAGCTCCGCAAATTTGTACAATATCATGTGCAAGTTTTAGCTTATACGAGACTCGGTGATGGAGCGCTGAGCACTCCACCCGTGAGAGTCCAGACTTTCGAAGACAGTAAGATGGATTTTTTATTGCAATTAAATTCTTATCAAAGATAATCAGGATATAATTAACACAGAATGTGATACTTGATTGTGTATTGTATATAATTATTATAATATAATAAATACAAGAAATATTTTAAACTAAGAAAATGCAACATAATAAAACTAAAAAGGATAGCATTTCTATAATAATCGTTATCACAATACTAATATTCTGTTTTCTATATTATAGCTCCTGGTCCACCATCTAACGTGTCTTTCCCTGACGTGAGCTTCTCCACAGCACGTATTATCTGGGATACTCCAGAGGATCCCAATGGAGAAATTCTTGCATATAAGGTTGTGTTTCATTTGAACAGCAGTCAAAATCGACAATTTTCCCAAGAATTCCCGGCGTCAGACAGAACATTTAGGTATAAAGAATTTTTTCCTATTTATTCAGACTCATACTTGTGGAAAGAATTATAAACTCAAATATATCACACAAACAAATAATTATCTTATTTTGTCCATTATTTTAAGATTAGAATTATTGATTAAACAAGCGTTTAAAGAATTTCTCGAATTAAATATCTAATGATTATTACTTGTTGCAGAGCCACCAGTCTTGAACCAGAGAAATATTACATGTTCTCTGTGACAGCACAGACAAGATTGGGTTGGGGTAAGACAGCTTACGTACTTGTATTTACCACAAACAACAGGGAGCGTCCGCAGGCACCATCGATGCCGCAAGTGAGCAAGTCGCAAATTCAGAGTCGCCAGATAACATTTAGTTGGACACCAGGCAGAGATGGTTTTGCACCATTGAGGTACAAATATCTTTCACAGGTGTTTATTTCAGGCCTCTTAAAATATTGCGTATTAATTTCTCTCTTTTTATTTTGACAGATATTATACAGTGCAACAATCGGAGAATTCTGGACCATTCCAAACTATACCAGAGAGAGTAGAACCAACTGTGACATCTTATACAGCTAACAATTTGAAACCTTTCACGCACTATCAATTTCGCATTCAGGCTACCAACGATATAGGTCCTTCGGAATGGAGTACCGAGTCTGCTCAAGTACAAACTTTACCTGCAGGTATGTATTAAACAACAATATAAAATATTGGCAAAATAATTTACATTGTATATATATTTCTTGCATTTATCGGTTTGTTCTCAAAGTTGTTTTATTTGCTATATTATTTAGAAATATAAAAATCCAAATTAATATTTTATATAGAATAAATAAAACTATTTATTAATTTTGTATTTTAAAATATTTTAGTAAATGATCTATTTAATATGTAAAAGTTTGTAGCATCACACATTTACTTGATATATACATACCTATATTAAATTTAATATGTCCTTTTAATACATATTATATATTAACTTACAATTAGTACATTGTATTGGTACATTTGATATTTTTTATTCTTTCCTTTGATTAAATCTTTCTTTTGATTTAATTAATCTTTTATTAACATTTTGTCTCACATTTACTTACAGCACCGTCTAAAGGTGTTACTGGTTTGAAAGCCGTACCAATAACAACGTCCAGCGTCGAAGTTCACTGGAACATGATCGACGAAGTGTATTGGAGCGGAGATTACAAAACGGGTGGTTATCGTATCGTTTATCAGCCAGTATCGGATTTTCCGACGCCGCTGCAGACACCACCGAAAGAAGAGATCTTAGGAATTAATGTGAGATATATCTTCATTAAAACGTTATATATATATATATATATACAGGGTGTTCGGGAACTCCGGTGCCAACCGTTGAGGGGTTGTAGGGTAGGTGAAAATATTCAACTTTTATTAATAAACATGTAGTCTCCGACGACGCCTGTCAACGATGCACGATCTGACTGCGAGGATCTTCAATGCTTGTGAGGTCGTCCAGCATACACCAGGCATTTTCGAACGAGTTCGGCAAAGTATGGTGCGGCGGTGTAATGCCTGCATTGAATTAGGAGGTCGCCATTTCGAGCATCTTTTGTGATTGCATTTTTGTGAAGGAAAAATAATAAAGTTACTGGCGTCGACAGGCGTCGTCGGAGACCACATGTTTATTAATGAAAGTTGCATATTTTCACCTACCCTACAACCCCTCAACGGTTGGCACCGGAGTTCCCGAACACCCTGTATATGTACAGAATTATCATAATACAAATTCTTAATCTATATACAATTTCACAATTTAAAATTTATACTCGAAACTTACAATTCTTAAATAATTTGTAGTAATAAATAACTGTCTAATTAACAACAGATTCGTTGTATCTGTCAAAATACTAGAATATCGCAATCGTTTTGTTATCCGAGATGGATATAAATTCAACTATATACACTAATAGCACGGATTGCATAAAATAATCTTTAAACTTTTCAAAATAGATGATGAATTTATTTCTATATTTCATTTCAGGAAACTAAAATGGTTTTAAGCGATTTAACGGAAGATCGATATTACGAGATTATAGTGCTACCGTTTAATTCGGAAGGTGAGGGCCCACAGAGTCCACCGGTCACTGTATATGTAGGAGAAGCAGTTCCTACAGGAGAGCCTCAACATTTGATAGCCGAGCCTATTTCTTCCACCGAGGTTCATTTACGTTGGAAGCCTCCGCAAGCCAATATGCAAAATGGCGATTTATTAGGATATAAAGTAATTATTCTTAGTAATTTTTATCACGTCTAGTTATGTTAACAAATTTAAGGTATAATGACATTTTTTATCTTGGGATACAACTTTGTGATGGATCGTTATAAACTCGTAATTTTTTCATATTTAATAATAAATAATAGATTAATTGTATATTAATAGATTTTTATTTCATTAATTTATAAATTTTTCATATGTATATATATGTAACATTTCTATTTTTATTGCAGATTTTTTATTTAGTAACAGACTCTCCACAAAATTTAGAAAAGAAACAGGAAGAAGAAATAGAAGTAGTTCCGGCGTCCTGTTTGGCGCACAGTTTAGTCTTCCTCGACAAGTATACACAATATCGTATTCAGATCTTAGCGTTTAATCCGGCTGGAGATGGCCCACGATCTCCGCCAATTACCGTAAGGACAAAACAGGTAATTTTCTATAAATATTATTAATTATTCCTTGATTAATATCAATGTTTTAATTTAAATTAAAATAGATATTTAGAAAACAGTATTTAAACTATGCATTCTTTTTTTCTAAAAAAATAATCAATCATATAACAACTATCTGAAATGTATTTTAAACTGTAAAGTTTTATTCTAATATTTTATCTGTAATAAATTACAATTATGTAAATACAGGACATACCAGGACCACCATACAATTTGCAATTCACTGAAATTACTATGACCAGCTTGCGCGTGTCTTGGGATCCGCCGAAATTACGCAATGGCGAGATAATTAGTTACCTCGTCACATATGAAACGGCGGAGCAAAATGATCGTAAGACAAATTAATATCTCGACAGTAAAATCGTCATATTTTGTGTAAAAATTTAACTTCACTTTTCTAACAGATCTTTTCTCGCGTATCATTATCTTTTTTAATATATATCATTATAAGTTACAGCACATTTTGCATTGTGCTTTAATTAACACACAAATGTGAATATTTGTATGAATATATATTATTATATATAAATAAACAATATTATATGCGCTATAATATTATTTGAAGAAATATTTATACACGAAGTACGAAGTATTATGACTCATTTGTCACATCTCCATTTTCTCGCTAATCGATCTACGTGTTCTGTTCAAGGATTTAGCAAACAAGTTAAACAAAAAGTAACAGAGACGAACCTTCTTATACAACCGTTGGAGGAGGAAGTGACGTACACTTTTATGGTTCGCGCGCAAACGATCGATTTTGGACCTCCGATATCTGGTAATGTTACAACTGGTCCACAAGAAGGTTCACCGATGGTACCTAGTAAGCTTGGCGTGACCAAGACTGTCTCCAGTGTGGAGCTACAGTGGACTAACGGTGCTTCCGGGAAAGGACCTATACTCGGTTATTACATTGAGACTCGTCGTAAAGGCAAGTACATCTTTTCTATATTCTGCGTATTGTTATAATATATTTATAGCAATGGAAAGAATCTATTCCAAATTCAAACTTTATTTTATACTATTATTTATTAAAATTACAATGGCAGAAAATCAATAAGCCGACTAATCCCTTTTATTGTAACTAATTTACTGTTGAAGTTAATTTAGAGAACTTTGTTGATGTTACAATTTAAAGAAACAGGGGAATGTATATAATTGTAAATTCGCGTAAAATTATTTAATTACTCGCATATTTGTTGAATCAATTATCAGTTCTCCTAATACTAATTTCGTCTTTTTTATAAATGTGTAGCAATGGAAGAATGGCAGCATTGTAAGTTTCAACGCACGTAATTACGTTGAACGTCAATCATTGCATTAGATGGTTTTTGATAGCGAGTTCCTTGTTAGCATAAACGATATCGCTTTTTGACAATAATTTGTTATATATTACTATACATGTCGTATAGTCGTTTGGTCGTTTGCAACAATTTGCATGATAACGTCAAAGCATGACATCGCCCATTTTTAAAAATCCCAATTTAGATATTCTCATACGAGATTTTATTGAATATTAACTTTATCCAGCTCTGTAACACATCGTCCTGAGAAAGAAACGATCCAGTGATTGATCGTTACTAGCGTGATGATGATTTATTGTATTTCGTCGTTATTGATCGATAGTGTCGCAGTTTTCATTATTTAGCCCCTGCAACTAATCTCGCGTTTTTGCAAACACTTTGCGTGCAATATACACAAAATATTCCATATAACTAAGGTACAGTTTGATATTACTAACTTATATTTCTTATTTAAAAAAAAAAGCATTTTTCCTTTGGCAAAATATCCGCAATTTCTATTATATTTTTTATAGTTTTTTAATACAATGCATTTGTCATTTTTTGATTTTTTGTGTAAATAATTTCTCCCTAAGAATCAAGAAACAACAAATGCATTACATGTATAATAGATTTATATTGCACTCAAAATGTTAATTAGTTTTCACCAGAATAATATAAATCCTAAACTATTTGATGTAAAGAATATATTCCATTCTTACTGCATTATTTGTTAGTAAAACATTTTTTGAAAATATCAAACCACTTTTTCAAGTAATTAATTGAGAAAGAGATTCTCTGATAAATTAAGTTTGGAAGGAGAAAATAAATGACAAAATTACTTTAACAGATTAATATATTCTAAAGTGAATTTTATATTTTAGGATTTGATTTATAATTATTATAAAAATATATTTTTATTGAGATAAAATTAAATGTATAAAATGAATCAAAGAAAATATATGAAAAATAACGTTATAGAATAAATTGTATATATATAAAGAGATTTGTGATTATATACATATGATATAATTTCCAAATAAAAAAAAATTTTTTTTTCCTTCCCTTAAGAACCTTCTAATAAAGATTATAATGCTATTTATGTGTGTAATTGTAGATGATTCGCGCTGGCAGACAATAGTTCGTAGTAGTAATGGACCACTGACAGAATATACTGTATCCTATCAAAATTTGTTGCCATCTACGTCGTACTTGTTCAGAGTGATATCGTATAATCGTTATGGAATCAGTTATCCAGCATATTCCACTGACACGGTAAGAAAAATTAAATTGAAATATAATTGTTAATATACTTTAAAATATTTGTATTACTAAAATATCGTAATTTGCATTACATCTATCCATTTGTATTAAATTTATTTATTGTTTAAATATTTATATTTGCATACATTATATTTATTCATTTGTGAAAAAAATAATATACATAGCTAACACGTTTTACTAATAAAATTTTATTTTGACAGATTTTGACGCCATCGAAATTGTACCTGGAATATGCATACCTGCAACACAGACCGTTTTATAGGCAGACCTGGTTCATGGTCACTTTAGCAGCTACGTCAATTATAATCATCATTATGGTCATAGCAGTGTTGTGTGTAAAGAGTAAAAGTTACAAATACAAACGTAAGTCGATTTTAACACTTGTATATATCAAGCGATTTCTAATTTTGAAAAATTAAGATTAGCATATTTGCATACTTATCTATTAGTGTATAATTTTATATAATTATAGAAGAATTATACATTGTAATATATTTACAGAAGAGGCACAAAAGACTCTCGAGGAGTCAATGGCGATGGATGCGGATGACAGGCAAGAATCGGATCTGGAATTGTACAGATCGCGTCAAGGCGTAGGCGGTGCCGTCAACGCGGCGAGCGGTACTCTAGGTAAAAGGAACACATTGGCTCGGAAAGCCATGCATCCTCCGCCGCCGGCGATGTTGGGCAAATCGCCTCCTAGACCGTCGCCCGCATCAGTCGCTTATCACAGTGACGAGGAGAGTCTTAAGGGATACGACGAAAATCCTGACGACAGCAGTGTCACAGAGAAGCCGTCCGAAATCAGTTCCACTGATTCTCAAGTAAAATTTCTCTCAATAAATTAAGAAACGATCACGCGTTTATTTCTAAATTATAAATGATCTAAACTGTGTTTTCGCTTATCGCAGGGTTCTGAGAGCGAGAACGAGAGTGTGCAATCTGACCCACATTCCTTCGTGAATCACTACGCGAATGTGAACGACTCGTTGAGGCAATCCTGGAAGCGACAGAAACCCGTCCGAAATTATTCGTCATACACAGATTCTGAGCCGGAAGGCAGCGCAGTCGTCAGTTTGAATGGTGGTCAGATCATCATGAATAATATGGCGAGATCGAGGGCGCCGCTGCCGGGTTTTTCGTCGTTCGTGTAATTAAACTAAACTCTATCTAGACACAAAGACTTTTTATTAATAACGATATCAAAATTATCGCGTCCTACGAGCAAAGTCTTTTTTATATTACGTATATATATATATATATATATATATAGAGCGAAAGACTTACGTCGAGAATGTGTGCGTTTATACACAACGTGCTGACGACATAGACTTATAGCAAACTTATAATGAATTATAGGAAGCTTGAGGCATCTTCGTATTGTGATATATTATAATATACATACTTATTATTTATAATTTTCTATAAGACATTTTGTGCATTTAATAGATACTTTTCTATTTTTTCTGATTAGTTTAAAGATAACGTACAGATCTCATATGGACAATTTTCGCACCTGTGGAGCAGAATATAAACTTCAATTTTTTCAATAAAAATGTGCAAATAATACAGAAATTATCCATTAAATAAATAATCGCAAATAATTTAGAATAAAATTTAAATATTGTTCATATGGGACGTATTAAAGTTATTATAAATGACAGGTGATTACACTGAAAAGGCGTTAAGGTCTTTACATTTTTGCATAACAATTCCAGAAAAAATAACCAGAAATTTATCTTTTGTTTTATAACTTAGAAAATTTATATACATACAATTCTACATATTTCACAAGACACAAAACACATTTAAATTATAATTCCAAATAATTTCAAACTCATTCCGTTCTGCTTCTCAGGTACGCGATTATAGAATAGATATACGACTCTACATATATAATTTAGTGAATTTTACATTCTTCTAATACTAATACGATACATGAAGATATTCATCGCAGATGTATGCGATTCACGGATGTTTGCAATATTGTTTTTAGAAGAAACAAAATTCGGACCTGTCATCAGTTTATTAATCTGTGAAAAATTTTTAAATTGAAGGTCGCGAGTTATGGGACACCATGTATAAATCCACTCTTATGTTGGATGTACTTGTGCTACATTAGATACGTGTAAATATATTGTATATTTTCCATTATAATAGTGTAGATTTTGTATAATGCTGCTAAACAGCAAACATAATATATCTATCGCATTCGCGTTTTGTGATATATAGTAAAAGCTCCATATTCGCGAGATTTACATTCTACCGAACTGCCGTGAATATAGAAATTGCGATAACTAAAGACCGAAGCACACATCATATATACAAAGAAATACATATGAGCAAAAGACGTTTTAAATTGTTTATAATTTATTTATTTTATATTTTAAAAAATTAATGAAATTTTAGTTCTCAAGCAGACTTTAAAAAAGCATTTAAAATTGTTTTTCTTTCTATTCATTAAGATAAGCAAATTGTTTAAAGTTACAGATTTGAAAAAGATGAGATTGCAAATATCAAATCGTAAATATACGAGATACGCAAAAATGGAGCTTCTACTGTACATATATATATATATATATATATATATATATATATATATATAAGTATATATATATATATATATATATATATATATATATATATATACAGTTACAATAATCCACATATCTTCTTAAACATTCTCATTTTATTAATGTACATCCAAAACCGGATATCGAACTGATAATTACAACTGCATAATGTCGCATTTATTGTAACTGTGAATAATGACACTTGGATAAGAGACAAAACAAAGAGAAGCCTAATCTAATTAGTAATTACATTATAGTAAGACTATTATGAAATGCATATCCGATAAAATCATTTGTTTTATACTCGCTATAATTATTTAGATAATAATTTTATTAATTTCCTAAAAAACATTTTTTACAAACTATACACAACGCAGCGAATCCTTTTCCATTAATGTATTTATGGAAGCTTAAATGTTTTCAAATACTGCCAGCGAATACGTTTAGTGCAAATTTAAAACATGTTTATACTCTTGCATTTGCGCGCATTTGATAATAAAGTAAGGATATAAAAAATTTTACTGTAATGTCTAATCATATAGGACATTTTTAGAGACTTGTTAATCTTTTTAATAAAATTTATGCCGTTTTGGAAGAACTTAATAATGACAAACTGATCTATTATTAAAAACTTATATTAAACTACTATTACTAGTTTCTTTAATTATTATACATTCATATAACTTTAGAAATCGATATATTTTAATAAGTTTGTATACATAATTATAATTTTTAATTCTTTTAAAATTAATCTTTTGAATATATGTATGTTGCCCCCGAAACAATATAGAATATCTACACTAAATGGATGCATGTAGGATATAAATTAAACATTGCTTATTTTTATGCAAAAAATTTATTTATGATTATTTTTTTAAATAGTAGCAAAATTAAAAATAAAACAAATATGTATTTTTTATGTGTTTAAACCTTAATCAATCTTACTAATTTATACAGCATATTTACAAGCATAATCTATAAATTTGTATTCATTTCAGTATCAAATTTCTTTTCACATATATCATACAATTCATTAAGAACCTGTGGTTTCTTGTTTAGGGGATATTGTTTGAACAGAGACCATACCGCGATATCCGCAATATTAGGTTCATCCTTGTAATTAGACCATTTGTCAATGTTATGTGTTATGGTATGAAATTCTACTCCATCATATGTATATTCTTTCGTTTCAAGGTGTTCACGCGTCTTATAACACCAGTCGAGTACTGTATCCAACAAGTGTGGCTGTGGATGTATCTTCTCATAGTTATGTGTATCTATCAGCCTACTAAAGTATCTGAGGAGATTGACTTCGCCGAATATTTTATATCTATCTATGTCTGTAACAATTTCCAACTCCCTAACTGAAAAGAGAAAAAAACATTGTAATATAAAATATTCAAATAAGTAAAATTTCTATTAATTAGTATTAAGTAAATAATGGAAAAATAGTTAAAAATTCGTTATAAAAAAAATCGATTTTCCTAAAATTTTGAATTATTCGATAATAAATAGATTTATTGTTATTCTAAAAACATTTTTTCTTAAGATGATCAACAAAATTGATTTGTCTTACTGTTTCTCCATATCAACGATAAATTTACGATTATTTTTGCAGCAGGCTTAAAAGTTTTTTTACGAAAAAATTGTATGGCTGTAGATCTATTTGTAGTAGATTGTTTATATGATATCGTTCTAATATCAACGTCCTTCCAAACCTTCATCAAAGCGTTTAATGAAAATGGTGGATGATATGGACCTACATGTATTATCATGTTAGTACTGACTGGTTTCTGCAAATTATGCATGAAAATTATTTGATAATTGATATTAAATCTATATTCTCATAAGAGCAATAATTTATTTTGAAATTTCAAGTTTAGCACAGATGTAATACCGTAACTTAAGAATGCTTTCAAATATATAAGTCATACCTGTGTAAATGGTACATGATCTGCTGCAACTTTTACCTCACTTTTCAGGCCTCTAAGAAATAAACTCAATATACATTCTTGTTTCTCGTGATTCAAAGAATTTTCTACACATTTTTGTGTAGATGATACATCTGATGATACAGCTGGTATTTCATTTTTATTCAATTTAGTAGCTTCATTTGAGTGTTTCAAAAAATAACACAATGTAGAAACTTGTTCCTTGAGATCAGCCAGTTGAGAAAGAATTTTGGTCTGTCTAGCCTCTAATTCATAGTACTCTGTTGAAGGTTCTGTTCTCTAAAAGGAAGAATATTAATTATGAAACACATGTTCTCTTTTATATCACATCATTGAGATTTTACATAAGTTTTATCTATCTGACATTTATTCTACAATATGACAAATCTGATATGCAAAATATATATATACATATATATATATATATATATATATAAACATAGAACTACCTTCTATCATAATTAAATTAATATTAAAATGTGCTATAATATAAATATAATATTAATATATCAAGCAGAAATAGATAGATAGATAAGAACATAAGATTTTAATATAGAATAGATTCATGCGATACAATATTATACACATTACTAAGAATCGAAACTCCTACACAGACTTATCGCAGCAGTTGGACTTGAATAATTAAATTAAATATAAAACATACAGTGAGTATAAATTCAAGCAAACGATATTTTGATGTATACATTCGATTGGCAAGTCGATTATATGCCAATCATCAAAATACAAAGTTCACCCAAATTCAATATTATTGTAACGACGTAACAAGGTTATCGTATCTCGGCTTATTTAACCCCCCTCGTTTCTAACGGCAACTCGGCAAGAATTTACTCGAAATTTTTCCGCTTTTGACAGCCGCGATCAACGATCGGGAGCCGCGCGTCTTTTTTGCGCGCGCGAGTCAAGTAGTTCTTCGCCCCATAGAAAGATCCACACGGCGTGCCTTTTCTCTCCGGATCAATTTTCATATTCGTCCGTTCGAGGAAAAAATATAAAAAAATTGCAAGGAGGGGCGGGAGGTACATCGATCAAGCCTCAGGACAGAAAAAGAGAAAGAGAGAGAGAGAGAGAGAGAGGAACCGCAGCACGTCGCTCCTCCGCTCCACTCCCGGTCGATCGCGGATCAGTGTGCTCGCGGAAATTTTCGGGAGGAGTCACGTCATGTCTCGTCCGCACTTCCGCTGCCGGCCGCGATGTTTCGCACGAGTCCACGCGCCCCGGACGCGATCGAGCGCGCGCGGACGAGAAGCCGCCGCGAGCGCGGCGCCGGGAAAAAACGTGGGAACGAAACGGAAACCAGACAATGTAGAAGCTTCTCCTCGAGGGTCTTCCCGCTGTTGGCCTCGCCGGGCATCTTGTCGGTGTTCCCGAGATTACATAGCTGCTGCTGGCTCACAGACAAGGATTCCTCCGCGTGAATATTTCGCATTTTGTACATGCTGCTATTCCTCATTACCGTTACTGTTGGCTTCATCAACAACGGGTGCGAGTACAACGTTAATTTCCCGGCGCGGCTCATCTTGAAGGATACGGAATTTTCCTTCCTCGCACGTAGAAAATTGAAAAATCTCTGCGAGTCTCGTCCACGTCTTCTCGTGCGTGCACTCAACAGTGACGTCACTCGCGCGCCGCGCGCGACATCTGGTGGCGGGACCGCGTAATTCGGCCGCGCGCCGCTAGATGGCGCTCCCGCTTCTGCCGGTAAAGGAAGCTCTCCAGAGACCGTGTTCCATCTTCGAATTGATACAACGCGAGTGCATCTCGAGTGCAAGTGACGTGTAAACGGTTTGAAAATTTAATCAACGATTCGCGTAACGTGAAAAACATTATAATAAAATCCCAATTGAATTTACGCGCAATAAATATATATATATATATATTGCGTCGTGTAACGATGATCGATCGAGAGGAATTAAAATGGCGTGCTCGACAGCGGTGTCCTCTGGCACGTCTCGAGCTCAGACTCGTGTCTAACTACCAAAGCGAGGCTCGCGGGTAACGGTCGGGGTGCCAATACGAGGAAGGACGTGTATACGAGGAAAGCCGAGAGGCGAGAAGTGTCAGTACGGCCGCTCGCGCTCGATCGAAACGCAACGTCCGACTTCCTCTCTGCCGCGAAGTTCCGGGTGCGAGGATCGAGTTCGACGTTTAACGAATTTGCGGTTAGACAGATCTACGTTTTTTCTCTCTTTTATTTCGAACGCGCTCGTGCTGCCACCTGTCGCGCAAACCCGTCAGTTTGACAGGAGCCAGGAGACAAGGGCCAAGAAGTTACGGCGAAGGCGATTGGAGCGGACGCGGGTCTCCTTCGAATCGAACGTCCGAGCGTCATTCCGCGACGTGGGTGACCTCGTCGGGGCCGAGCTACTCGCGGACGATCCCCGCGTCGACGCGAGCAACGTGGACGCGCCGGGGCAGCCCGCCAAATCGCTTTTCGCGTCGCACCTAGCCCCCGAAACGCCAAGATGGCGGCCTCACGATGAGCCAATCGCGAGGCCGCTCTCATCCCAAGCTCCGCCATTCAACGACGTCGGTTCCGTCCGCCGCGCAGCTAGTGACCCCTTCTTCTGGCGTAGTTCGCGTCACTCGCCGATCTCGCTATCGAATTTCGACGAGTGTTTTTTACGCGATCGCGGTTTACGGTGCCGCTTACGCGAGAGGGTGAGGGAGAGAGAGAGGACGCGTCCTGGAGAGCGAGTCGCGGACGGGACGTGGACAGTTTTCACGACGACGCGAGGACCCCCCCGAGTTGTGTTTGATCACGTGACCGCGCGGAACCGACCGTGGGCCGTGAGAAATGGCGCAAAGATCAGAGTGTATCGGGCATCATGGATGGATCCCGTTCGTTGCCGCGGCGATGTCACTTGTGTTTGTTTACAAGCGTGCGAGCACGCGCGCCACGTGCTGAGTGAGAAGGCGAGGGCGAGGCGAGGCGAGGCGTCGAGTGAGAAAGAGGGAGAGAGAGACGTAAAGAGAGCCGAGTGGAAGACAGGTGGAGCGGAAGGAAGGCGCAGGAGGTACACGGGCCTGGCAGGCCCTAAACAGCGGTCCCTTCTCCCACCCCCAGTTCGCGTGATTTCGAAACGTGCGATTTGACAGCGCCGGTACCGGCATTGACGTTTCAGATCAGAACGTGGACCACGGCGTCTGACAGCAATAATGACGGGCAGAGGCTCGAAGAGGCGGGGGCGACCGCCCAAGTCCGTCGTGATGGAACGTCCGAAGAAGTTTCAGTATCATCTGATGAAGAAACCCAAGTACTTGCAGAACAAAACGGCAGCGGGGATGCTGAGTGGCGGCGCCGAGACGCCGGGTTCGCAGCCGAGCACGCCTACGGCGTCGAGACCGACGTCGCCGTCCGTCGAGAGCGAGGAGAGCAGCAAGCGCAGCACCAGGAATCAACGTAAATCGCGAGGCCCGCGCGACAGACATTCTCGTAAGGGCGGTCACTCCGGATCTACGGGTGGTGCCTATCAGCGTCGTGGATATAATCCCAATGTGGATTATCATGACTCCGAGTATCATTATGGGTCGGATTTTGGGGACGAGTCTAGCGACAAGAGCGAGCCGGAGGAAGATCCGATCCCGAGCGACGTCGAGTCCTCGGAGAGTATAGAGGAGCCAGATCCCTCGAGCGATAGTGATTTCTCTTTATCTAGTTTCAGTACTACAAGTGGTACACCTAGGAAAACCCTGTTGGGTCAGCAGCGACCACCCAGTCCGGAGCCACTGTGGCTGCAGAACAGAGAATTGCCATCGTTGGTGTTGCCAAAGAGCTCGGATGATCTGTTGGCTCCTAAAGAACTGGTTATGCCGTTGCTGTCGGTCTACGAAGTGCTCAGACACTATCGTACCTTGGTGCGTTTGTCTTCCTTTAGATTCGAGGACTTTTGCGCCGCTCTTATTTGCGAGGATCAGACTAACTTGTTGGCAGAGATTCACATCATGCTGATAAAGGCGCTATTACGTGAGGAGGACTCTCAGCAGACGCACTTTGGCCCACTGGATCAGAAGGATTCAGTGAACGTCAGCTTGTACTTTGTGGACTCTATGACGTGGCCAGAAGCGCTGCGTTCTTATGTAGAAAGCGACAAGAGTTTCGATCAGAATATTTTGCAGATATTAACCACAACTGAATATCCTTTTACTGCCACCGAGGATAGAATCAAGGTCCTACAGTTTTTAACAGATCAATTTTTAATCACGAATCCTGTGAGAGAAGATTTATTACATGAAGGTAAAGTAAAATGTGTGTATGTGTGTAATAATGTGTTGTTTTATTCGTAGCTTTTGTAGAGGCATAACTATATTCAAAATCAGCAGGAGAAAATTTGCCATGTCCATGCTGATGTAACAATTGTTATGGTTGATGTAATGATACTTTTAGTCAAGAATAAATTAGATTAAATGTAAACTTAATTTTAGTTTCTTTTTATATTGAAAATATATTCAATAAGATATGTTTTTTAATTTGATGTAAGCAGAGTATTGCTAATAAAAAACTGTTGCTTGCAAATAATTTAGTTTCTATATTTGATGGATACTTTTTGTATAAGTCTCTGCATCAATATTATATAAAAATCTGTTTCATGTACAAGCTTTTATTTATTCTTTTATTCTCGAATTTTACAATTAAGAAAATTGAGTCTCTGAAATGGAGACTTTGAATTGAAACTTGAGACCCAAAACACAAGGACAATATCTATGTTTTGCAGGGAGTATGCATTATGATGATCACTGCAGAGTGTGCCATCGATTGGGAGATCTGTTGTGTTGTGAAACTTGCCCGGCTGTGTTTCACTTGGATTGCGTAGAGCCGCCATTAGTCAATGTTCCTACCGATGACTGGCAATGTAGCACGTGTAAAGCTCATAAAGTGATGGGCGTTGTGGATTGTATTCCCGATGTTGAGAAGAACGGATCATTGTGTAGACAAGAGCATTTAGGATTTGACAGATACGGCAGAAAATATTGGTTCCTTGCGAGAAGAGTTTTTGTGTAAGACACATTTAATATTGTAAATCAAATCTAGATTGATTAAAATTTGCAAAATGATAGTTTATCATACTCATTACATTATCATATATTACAGACAGTAATTTTATATATATTTAAACACAATTTATAATTTTCCATTTTATATAAATTATATAGAATTATATCTATATATTTTTGTATGAGCTTTTTAGTTTTAATAAAAAAGTATAAATTCTTTAGAGGAAGTAAAATAAAATGTAACAAATATATAAAATAGCAAAAAATTCTAGAAAGTTTATGGAGATATATATATATATATATATATATATACACATACATAATATATTAAGAATTTTTATTTATTGCAAAATTTATTTTATTTTTTAGCGAAAGCGAAGATGGTGAAGTGTGGTATTATAGTACACCACTACAACTGGAGGAGTTAATGCTTGTGTTAGATTCGAATGAAATGGAAATAGCGCTTTGTCGCGAGTTGTCAGATTATAAAGATGAAATAATTCGTCAAATGGAACTCACGGAAACCATAACTAATCAATTCAAAGGAAACAAAAAGTCTTACCTGGAAGTAGAGAACGGTAAAAATCTTTTTAATTAACATTTTTTTTCAAATCTTTTTTGTTAACATCAAGCATTAAGGATAACAATTTACACCTTGTTTCTATTGCATAATTAATACTTAACATTATTTATATATGTTGTTATAATATGTATCTTGTATATATTAAAATATTGTATTCATATTTATTTATATCTATTTTAACAACAAAGTAAACACTTATTTAGTAATAATCATTAGCAAAAATCACTAGTTCTGGTTTTGATTGAAATATTTTTCAGGTCTTATACAAAAGATGCAAAAAGAACGGCAAGAAAAACAGGAAAAAGAGGAGGAAGAGAAAAAGGAGAAACAGAGACAAGAGGCAGAGGAAATGATCCGTAGAATGCACGAAGGTACTGACTCTCTCGAGGAGCGTATGGCAGTTGTGACGGATCAGGGTGAGACCAAGACATCCAGGGAGGAATCAATTTCTCAAGTACCTGAAGTAGTTGGAGAAACTGTCGAAGTCGATGCTGATGCGTCTGTGACGAATACGGATAAAACTGCTACGAAAACTAGCACTTCTACATCATCGTCCGAGGACGCCGATGAAGAAGCATTAGATGGAGAAGAGAAGATTGGAAAAGATGGTAAAATTTACAGAATAGTAGAAATAAAATAACTGTCAAAATTGTTTGCTCTTTTCTTTGTTCTTTTATAAAAATTATTTTCTGTAGAACAAATATTTCTATATACATTTTAACTTACAGATGAATAGGATCATTTATATATATAAATTATATTTATAATAATCTTTTTTTTCTTTAGGCAAAAAGCATACTATTGTCACGAGGTCAAAAACTGGATCGTTACAGCCACGAACCTTCAACATGGATGACTTGAAAAGACGCAGTATGGCTCCATTGTCTAAGGAAGAGCTAGAGAAGTTGGACAAGAGTCTGAAGGATTCCGAGGGTGATGGTACTAGATTAACACGTCAGAAGGCACATCAGATTGCATCCGGCACTCATTTATTCAAACTAGGCATGGACAACAACTTTAAGTCGTATGTCAATCAGTACAGTAACAATCCTGTCGCGTTGAATAAAACACAGAGGAACGAGGAACGTGACAAGAAGCGACACTTGTCGCACAAATTTTCACTCACCCAGGTGTCAGAGTTTAAATGGGTGGGTAGTTTAACGGGCACCCGTGCTCTGTTGGTCAGCACCTTACGTCAGACAATTCTGCAACTTGAGAGCAACATTCAAGCACCGTTCATGCATACAAATTGGCCTTTGCTACGCAAACCGTGGACCGCGGCAGTGAGTGCGTGTGTAAATCCGCGTGACTTTGCACGTACTCTCATAGTTTTACAAGCGTGCATCAAATCCGTTGTGTTCGCGAGTGTGTGGCATGATCAACTTGGTCATGTGAAACTGCAACGAGTGACTGCAATTGAGCGCGAAGAGAAAAAGCGACAAGACAAGAAAGAAAAAAAGGAAAAGGAAGACGAGGAGGAACGTAATCGACTTTTCAATTTCGTCAAGTACACTCTTGGCATGAAACACCAAGTATGGAAGCAAAAAGGTGAGGAATATCGACTGCATGGGCAGGGCGGCTGGCTTTGGGTATCGGCCAGTCGTCGTTATAGATGCTCGGAGATGACAAAGCTAGGTCTGCGAGCCGGTCCTCAAAAAATCATGGTGCAAATTCGAGATCAGGGCGGTTCAAAGATTCTCGCACTCGATCCGCCTACCTATGAATTCCTGATTAAGGAATACTGCCCAAGCAAGACGGAGAATGGCATTGTAAAGCAAGAGATCAAGGAGGAAGATACTGGAAAAGATGCGATCAAGCAGGAATGCAATTCAGAAGATGTGAAAAAGGAGCCTACAACAAATGGTGTTGATTCTTCTTTAGTAAAGTCGGAATCTCAATCAATCAAACAAGAAACAAAGATGAATCTATCGTGTATGTATCAAATTTAGTAGATGATTTAAATCGAAAATATAACATTATAAATATTTTAAATTTATATTTGATTCAAAAAATACTAATGACAGAAAATTTTCTTTAGTTTTAGCTGGCATGAAAATCGAAAAGGTTTTTACCCCGATTACCGAATTTGAAGAGATTGACATCACTAAGGCGCTAACCAATGCTGGAAGATTGCTTTACCCAAAAATTGCAAAAAAGACAAGAATCGACGATTTCTTAGCACGTAGAACACATTTGAAGCTTTTGGAAGAAAGAAGATTGCTACAATCTGTAAGTATATCTTTATTAAATAATATGTAATCTTCTATCATTTAATGTGTCATGATTATATCACTTTTATAATTTGTAAATATATCGAAATATCGAAATGTTTTGCAGGAGAAAGCGAAAGAAGCAAGTAAGACGCCTAATCAAAAGAGCGGAGGTGGCGGCGATTCTTCGGAAGCTGACGTGGAAAACCATGAGGAGAACGATGCGGATGGCGGTGGAAGTGGAGGTGCCGGAGACGCTTCTGCGTTATCATCGTCCGTTGGTAAACAACCAGCAAGCAAAGCAACAACAGTGGTTTCTGCGTCTACGAAAGAAGTTTTGGCGGCAATCAACAAACGTATTCAACAGGTGCGCACGCAGTACGCGAACATCTCTAAGCTTTGCAAAAATGTCAGCTGTTATTCGCACTACTGCAACGTGAACAACGCCAGCAGCAAGAACAACGTCACGCAAGTTAACACCGCGCAGGTCATCGCTGTACATACCGCCGATACTTGCTACTCGCCTCTGTGCATTCAAAAGACGCGTCTGAAGCGCGAGCTAATCGCGCTGGCGCGCAAGGTAAACGTTCTCAACCACAATCAGCAGTCGTCTCCTTCCTCGTCCTTGTCACAAATCATTATAAAGACGGAAAACTCGGACGAGACGAAGGATGCGATCAGACGAGATTTGGAGTCCGCGGTGGCGTCGGCGACTCACTGCAACGAGGACGCAGCGAAAGACGTCACTTCACCCTTATCGAAAAAGATTAAAATCGAGAACGACACGGGAGACACGATCGTCACGACTACCAGTAACGTCGTCACGACTACCACGACGATAACGACGACTCAACAGACAGTGACGAAGAGCAGTTCGGACGGTGCAATGCAGGAGCATTCTACCGTGAATCGTAATGCCACGACCGTCTCGTCGGAAGTTACGACCACTACGACGAATAAGGGTGGTGCGAAGACGGTGATGATTGTGAACCGTAGAGGAAGGACAGTGCAACGGACCGCGGTTACGAAGGAACTAAACGCCGATGGCAGCGAGCGAATTTACACGGCAACGTCGACGAAGGGCAAGATATACTTGAAGAAGGTGGCCATCTCGTTGGCCGATCGTAGGAAAAAACGCACCCCAGTCAAGTATCCGCTATGCTCGACCTTTTGCACGAAGAACAAGCATCGCAGTATACTGGTGCTTCCTCAACACGAACTGAGGAAAATGTCTCGCGTCGGCGGCAAAACACCCGTACAAGGATTTCATCATCAGGCCAAGGCGAATATGTCGGTGTGGCCGTACCAATGTCCCAGACCTTTGTTCAAGACTTGCTGGTTGTACAGGACGGTCGGTTTGAAATCGCTGGCCGCTGCCGCGATTCAGCTGAGAATACTCTGGGCGTGTCTCAGGTGGGACGACATGGCGGCTAAACCATTGTCTACAGACGGCAAGAATCAGATCACTACTGACACGGAAATTATGTCTCTGGAGATACTGAAGCATCGACACGTTGGACAGTTTCTAGACAGGACACAATATCTGCGCAGGAAGGTTGTAATACCACTCGAGCTTCCGAAACAAGTCAGAGGTTTGTACAAGAAGTAATTTACTGAACAAAAATACCTAGAGAATTTACATTAGTTGATCGGATATTTTATTCAAGTTATGACTAATAAAATTTAATATCTTGAAATCGCTTTTTAATTTGCTTTACATACATTCATTCTCTTTACAGAGGTCACGTCCATAAGGAGTGGTCTGAGAAAACGAAAGCGTCCGGAATCACCGCAAAGCACCGAGCCACAAGTCACCGAGGAATGGGTCGACGAGGATAAGTTAGAGTTGTGGGAGATTAAGCAGTACGGTGACAGGTATATAACGATTAATATTTGCTGCGGGTATCTGATGACGAAAATTATTTGCATGTTATTTCGCGTCACAGATGTTTGTGAAATTCTCTTTGAAATGTTCTTATTATGTGATTGCTATGACCGATTTTGTCGAATCTACTCGAACTCTAAATCAACGAATACTAAACAATTTTAAATAATGATTTTTATTAATATTACTAAAGTTGAAAGAATGATTTTTATGTTATTAATAAATTGAAGAACATAATTTAATGGGCATAAAAATAAAAGAATAGGAATATAATAGAAAAAATAATTCGAATTATTAGGATTGTTTTTATAGAATTAATTTTGAAATAATAATTAGAGTTTGTAATTTTACAATCAAATATAAAATTTTTATTAATACTCTTTTCTTAAATAATAAAAAAAAGATGAGAGGCAAAATATATATACATGTTTTTCTTTTAACAGTACAATCTTTTAAATATTTTTCTAACTTTAATGTAAAGGGACAAAAATTGAAAAAATTAAAAATAAATTTGCCCTCTTCAAGGATAAGGAATTCATGTCTCTGTTTTGCTTTTAAATTTGCCGATGATGACGTCGAATTTCGTTCTAAATGTGGATCGCTCTGACCGCTTTAACCCTCCGCTTGCTTTCTTTCTTCTCATCGGGAACTAACCCTTCGCTTGGTGTGTCTGTCCTTTCTCCAGGTTAGAGAAGGCTAATGCCCAGATTATTACTAGGAGTCGCTCGGGAGCGCCGCAATCGGTGATCGTCAGCGGTGGAAGAACCACCGTTGCCGCCACCGGTGGCACGACCACCTTGTCCGGCGACCAGCTCGTAAGTGGTAAAGCCACGCCGGAAGAGATCAAGGAGAAGATGGAGCAGCAGTTGCGGATGCAACGAGCGGCTCATCAACAGAAACGTGCCCTGGAGACTCTCAAGAATCAACCTGCAAACTCGTCACCCGCCGCCCAGCTCGTCAAAGTTACAGCTAATTCTTCTCACGGTACGATTTACAGAAGACTACGTAATGAATCGATATAGAAAGATACACAAGTAGATATAGAAATAATAAGATATTTTTTAATTTTGTTTATTAATCTTGATTAAACTTGATTTTTGCAAGATAAATAACTTGAAGTAAAAAAATGGAATAAAATATTAATGAAAATAAAACCGATTAAAATGATTTTGTTTTTAGATGGTACAGTTAAATTAGTGTCAAAAGTCGCGATTCCGGCGAATCCGAACAGCACAAAGTCGCAATTGACTTCTCTTTTGACCACTCCCACACAGAATAAAACTTTCCTCGGTACACGACGAATCTACATGACGAAAGGTAAATATTTATTCTAATTTCCGTATATATGATAGGGCTATATGAATTAATATATTGTCTTATTTCAGCGCCTGATGGAACCACTAAAGTAGTGTCTGGTCCCACTAGTATTTTACCGAAAACACCGCAAGCCCAGACATTAAATCAATCAGTGATTAAAATAACACAAACAGGTAAGTTTATCTATTATTATTTAAAGCAGTTGGTGTAATAATGACAAATTTTTTTCCATTTTTTAATCTATCTCCATTGATATAATTTAATATATCTCCTAATCGTATCTTTCTAGGTACTAATTCGCCTATGCAAATGCAACAGAAAGTACAAATTCTTAGAGGGCCAGACGGAAAGTTACAGGTGCGTGGTTTGTTACCTGGTCAGCAATTGATCCAAATGCCTGATGGAAAATTACACGTACTGAATGTAGGCCAAGCAGTGGGTACTCCAACTGCACAATCAAACTCGACAACGCCTACAAGTACTCCACAGGTAATTCATGAAAAAATACATTTGTGTGACCCTCTCTTTACTTTTTAAAATAGAAAATTGGAAAAATGAGATGTCTAACATAAGTATCCATAATTTAATTAATCATGGTATAATAGAAACCAAACTAATATTGACTAATGTCTATATAATGGAAATTATGAGTGATATTACATATTTCAGAAGGCTGCGACTGCGGTTAGTCCTGCCAAGGTGGCAATTTCAGAAAATTCTGCGACTAAAACCAATCCTGCAAAATCAGCAGTGAATTCGACGACGCAACAAACACAACAATCGCCGCAGCAAGTCGTGCAAACTGTTCAACGCCTAAAAGCTGCGACTTTAACTCCTACTACACCGACAAAGAATGCCATTGTAGTCGCCAATACAGGACAGACCGCGCAGGTAATGGCCCTTCTGATTGACTGTACATTATTAAAAATTAATTCTTGAATGTGTAATTTCTTAAAATAAAATAGATTGGAGAAAAATAGATTCAATATTATTTTTAAATCAAATATCGTTTAATAAAATAAGAAATTAAAATTTTTCTAAAAATTGCCTGAAAAAGATTTGATCGAAAATATTAAAAAAAAATATTACGAGATTTTAAATATTTTATGCATCCTAGAGTTAACTATATAACAAATATTACACATTTATAATATTCACATTTATCTTTATATTATATGTTGTATATACAAATATTACAGGTAATATCTTCTGGTGGACAAGTGATAAGTGGCAATCAAATAGTGGTTACGAATGCCAACTTTGCCCAACAATTAGTGACAGGTAAGGCCCAATTGACAACAATCGGAGGCCATCAGGTGGTAATACGTAGCACGCCCACTGGAAATCAACTTGTACATCTGAATTCGACAAACAGCGGTATAATCGTAAAAAGTACCGTCCCTGTTAATAAGCAGCAAGGTTAGTAATTTTTTAATAATTATTTGTACATTTGAATTCATATTTGAAAGAACACTAGATTATCACTAGATTAAAGAGTATTTTGAGCAACTCTATTAACTTAATTGGCAATTAATCAATCAATAATTAATTAACCAACTGGAGTAGAATTGTCAGTAGCACAATTTTCAACTTGATCGAAGTGGCATTAATATATTAAGCTATAGATTATATATTTTATTAATTAGACACATTTCTTGGAGAATTATAGTGCTGTTACTTTCGTATAATATTACTGTATTAATTAATGTAGTATGTACTGACGAGATAAACTTACATACTTTTTTTAGTCACGCAATCTTCGATAGTTGCGGCGCAAACCGTTGCCAGTCCAAATACGAGCACAACAACTACCGCAACCTCGACTGCGTCGGTGACGACCACTCAGAGTCCCGCCGCTGCAGGAAGCATCGAGGCTTCTTTGCTAGCGGGACAACCACCTGGCACAATTATCAAATGTGTGACCGCGCAGGTGATACAGACAACCGATGGTCCGCGGATTGTACTACAAGGCCTGCAAAGTGCAGATTTCACAACACAGCAATTAAATATGGTGCAGCAGCAAGTGAAACAACAACTTCTCAAAGGTGAGTGTCTTTAAGAAGGATATAACAAAAACTAATCCATTGGCAGATATTGAATTGAAAATTTTATATCGCTTTCAGCCCAAGCAACAACTGGGAAGCAAGGCGTCTTAGGACCTACGAAGATTTACTTGGCTGTTCAACCGGTTCAACAATCTTCCAACAACCAGCAGCAACAACAGCAGACTTCGCAAGTTTCAACGACGACAAGTACTACCGTGACGTCGCCTCCGAAACAGCAACAATCTACAGTTTCCTCACCGTCTACTACAGGTATATAATTTTTTTATTTTAATATCTTATTATCTAAAAGATATGCAATAGTGGATGTGTATTTACATATATATACGTATGTGTGCGTGTGTGTTGATATTTATATAATATTCTAATAAATATTTAATAATGGAAATAGTCTTAGAAAGGTATATTTACAATAAAAGTTTAATAACATAATTATTAATATTTTTTATTATACTTTTTTTTAATAGAGTTGCTAGAAGCCACTGAAACCATTCCAAAATTTCCACAAACGGTAACACCAAAATCGACTGATAAACCGAAAGTGGTTGTTCAGCAAGTAGGACGCGTGACGAACGCAACGGAGGATGAGACACAAAAGACGAACATAGCCAATGGACAGCAACCTTCATCGCAGAAAGAAGGAAATGATTCATCGCCAAATAAATTTATACTAACACCAGACTACATCCAACAAAGTTAGTATATTTAGTGTGTAAAAATTAAAGATGCAAAACGAATATACAAGATATATACAAAGTATATGTTTTGTAATATAATATTTTGACTTAAAATATAATTTTTCTTAAATATATAAATAACTTTCTATATATCTTATATATATATAAAATATTCTTGAAAATATTACTTATAAAAAGATTTTAAAAAAAGTTTCTTATATTACAAAATTTAAAAAAATATTTTTCATGCACTGCAATTTTCTTAAAAATTTTTTATATAATTTTTTAAATGTCTTATATATAAATGAAAATTTTTTAATAAAAATTTAAATCTTTAAAAGTTAAGATTCCTGGACTCTTGCCGATCATGTTACAATTATGACATTAGAAACGATAATTCTGAAAAACTCTTAAAATCTTTATATATTTTTATATTTTTCGTATGATGACAAGATTCTTGCAAATATTTTTTTAGTAATTAAGTAATATTTACTAAATATGTCTAGATGTATTCACATGTTTATATGCATTTTCGTAATTGTAGCGATTAAAAATGCCTTGAAACAAGAAAACCTCAATCCGGAGATAGAAGAAAAATTGTTGCAACTGCAACGTTATCAAGAGAAGCAGATGAAGGGCGGCGTGGAGAACTCTGTAACTAGCAACCAGACTCATCACAATTCATCCACAACAACGACGCCGCGTCCGCCATCGCGCAAACGGCCAGCACCCTCGTCGAACATTCCAGCGGCAGCAACGACAACGACGCCGACGAACATGCAATCATCGTCTAGCGGTGGTGATGACAAAGACGACAAAGAATGGGTAGAGACACCCAGAAAGAGACCAGCACTGAAGCAGGAAAATCGCGATACGACCCCAAAGTAAGCCTACCATACAAACAAATAGAATGTTAACATAGTATAACACAGTAGTGCAACTTTGTGTTGGCGTCTTCAATATTCCTCTTTTATATGAATATTGAAAGAAATTAGATGTATGGAATACTTGAGACTCAGATCGGAATTTGATGAGATTTATGCCCGTTTTATCAATATAAAATATAATTGAAATTTTTATGCTGTGCAAGTAATCAACAATTAAATTCAAATCTGGTAGAAAGAGGCATTAGATAGAAAAAAAATTTTTAATTTTTTAATTCGTGTATATATGTCTGGAGTTGATGTATATAAGATATATATATCAGTAATTTCAAATACTTATCATTGGCGACTACTGTTATTATTAAATTATTAATCATATTATATATTATTCTGTTTTTTTTTTTTTATCTTTTTTCGTTTTTTTCTTCTCAAATAAGAGCAAAGTTGTACTATTATATTATACTATGTTATTAATTTTATTGAATTTTTCATAAACGTATGTATATTGTGGTTTTGTTTGGGTCTATTCGCTTTGCTTTTCCTAGCATTTTAAAATTATACATTTTTCATTTTTATAATTTTTGTAATATTTGTATACGTGCATCTATATGTATGTGTGTGTGTGCGCGCGACATTGAAATATGTAAATAAAATTTTATTGTGCTCTTTATATTTTAAAGATATTACATATATTTAATTTAAAAAATGAGAAATTTTTATCCAAATGTGTATCTTTTTAGATGTTTTCTTTATTTAAGAGTACTTGTAAAAAGTACTCTTAAATATAATCCAATTCGAATCCAATATTTTTTGCATACACACACAGGCATTCACTCATACAAATAAGTAATATCATAGAGATCATATGAGCATATCATGTTATGTATGTAAATTTTTTTATTGTAAATGAACATTTATTAATATCATAACATGTGTATGAAAAAACATTAGTCCAAAATTAATTGTATCTAAATATACTTTTGTGATATAACAGACATTTGTGATAAAACATTTCTTATTTTTTGTTAATTATTAATATATGTAATGTTCTTAAAATATAGAGCGCTTGATAAAGCTTTATTTTCGTTTTTAATTTATCTTGTTTAAATTGATGTTTGATATCAAATTAAATCTGAATTATATATGACGAAATTGTAAGATATAATGATATTTAATCATAGGCTCTTCTATATTAAATTAATTTAGAAATTATTTTTTCAATGGAAATTTCGAAGAAACCCATTATCACATTTCATATTTTTTTATATATCTGCAATTTTCCATTTTCCTTTTTTCATGTAATTTCCATCCTCAGTATCTCTTATTCTGTCTTACCAACTTAATATTTTGTTGATTTTCTCTCTGTTTCTCTCAAATTTTCTTTCATTTTTTTTAACATTCTATTATCTTCAAAGTTCAAAAACTGGAATAGTATATAAACATGATTTTAAACTAATTCAATAAAAAGATATTACAGATACATACATACATTTATCGTGTTTATACTTTCCTTAAATAGATGTTTTTAATGTTGTGCACTCTATCTTCAAAGAAAGATTTTAAACATTTTGACGAATGATTCATAAATATATTTCATTAATAAATCTTTTGATGTGGATCGGTATTATTTTGCCATTAAATTTTTTATCTTATGTGTGTATGAATGTTTTGTGTGTATATACATATATATAATAAATTTTTTTCTGTTTTTAGTTAGCCCGACAAATTTTAAAATAAACACACGCTTCTGTCTATGTATGTCACGTATTAAAAAAATATATGTGAAATAAATGTGTCGCATATTTTTGGTAATGAATGAGAAATTTATATTGCAAATAAATTATCTCTAAATGATATATCTTATCAATACGTTTAAACTTTAAACTGTATCATATATATATTTTTAAATCATTACTTGCAGAGTGCTGAAGCTATCAGAGGGATTAGATAACGAGTCATCTCCTAAAAACCGATCTGCGAAATTTAAAGATACACAAGAGCAGCGAAGAAAACAACAGGTACATTCTCGAATGCAGGTTTTATTGTTTCGGCATAAAGAACTTCTTAAAAAGGATATTCTTAAGAAGAGAGCTTTACTCGAGAAAGAGCTTCAAATCGATATACAGGTAAATACGATGAGTCAGTGTGTTACAAGAATAGTAATATATAATTACGAAGTATAATATATAATTTTATATTTAGAGGATGCCACTGATGTTACAAATGTTTCGAAAATCGTTTGATTGATTAATTAAGACAAAGAAATCTTTTATCCCTTTTGCTTATTCGTGTCAAATTATTAATCAAATTATTAAATTAAAATTAAAATTAATAACTATAAGCTAAATTATCAAACTAATTATTTTCAAATAGAATGAATACATCATACTAAAATAACACAAGTCCTGCTACACTAATCAATTTTAAGCTTAACACCATCGCAAACATATACAATTTCAAATAAATTAAAATAATAGTAAGGCTCAGAGGATCGTTCAAATCAAACTGGATGTAAAAGGGTGAAAGAGCCGTGACAGGATGTACGTGTCAAAACAGTATATTCAATTACAAAATAATAAATGTTTCAATCTGTCTCGAGATCATCTTCAGTGTATACATTAAATCGAATATTTACAAAAAGCGTACAATAAAGTTTTAAATGTCGATCTCAAAAATTGATGATAGGAAAAAGAAAACAAGCTACACATCCTCGCAACTAAAAAGAACGTGACACAATTTAAAATTAAAAATAGAAATTAAAGTAGTTACAATAAAATAAAATAAGAGAGAGAAAAAACTTAGAAAATAATGTTACAACAAAAATAATACATACTGAAAACATGCGGCAATATTTGTGTTGAAGAAATAAACATCGTGTTGCGGTTAGTTACAATTTCTATAAAATCGAATATTCTCGTATCCTTACGAGTATTTTCTATATTATATTCTGATTGTGTAATCTAACATACTCAATTTTTAAAAAATGCTCGCAATGTCATTTAAGCGTAAAGCTCACTCCGTAACAGCAAAAGTCTCTTGCAACAGCAAAAAGTCAACTGCTTTTTTAAAGAGAAAAGTTAATGAAGAACTTATTTAAATGATATTGACAATTATTTTAAAAATAAAATAAAAAGTTGAGTATTTTATATTTTTCTAACAAAGAGTACGTATAATCATTTTTTTTTTAATACGATTTAACATGTAGATTTAACATGTTCAGAGATGCGCCTTTAATTATATCATTTTGTTGGGATTGTAATTATCAGTGCTTTTCAATAATGCATCAATAAATATATTACAGAAGGATCTGTCGACGGAACTCGCTACCAGGACAAAAGCGGAGAGGCATAAGCAGGATGAGGTGAAGGTAGGCAGCGCGAAACGAAAAGCAAATGCTCAAGTAGCACAACAGGTCAGCCCGTCCAGCCGGAGCAGTAGTAGCAAACCGAAGAAACACAAGACCCAGGGTAACAGCGCGACTCCACCTGGTGGTTCGTCATCCGCGACTCGCATCAAGAAAGAGAAACTGTACTGCTTGTGCAGAACCCCCTACGACGAGACCAAGTAAGATCTTTAAAACGAGCAAAACCTCGAAGCCAAACAAGACTCCATTTGATTTTTATGTGTTCTAGAATCGTGTTTTATATTTTAATTACGAGCAATCTGAAGCTCTTATTTTAATTATGAGATATTGCTGATAAACCCATAAGATGCTGCAAAAAGAAATTCGAGCAAACTAATTTTCTAATTGTATATCTCTAATTACATTTTGATTTTTTATTTGATTGATCGATGAAACTTTAAGCTTCGATGTCCAATTATTATATATTCTTGTGAATGTTTTAAATAACTTGTTTCTTTTTAAAGATTTTATGTGGGATGTGACTTGTGCAACAATTGGTTCCACGGTGACTGCGTTGGCATAACGGAGGAAATGAGTAAATCTCTGTCGGAATTTGTTTGTACGGAATGCAGACACGCGAGAGATACGCAGGAATTATACTGCCTGTGCAAACAACCTTACGACGAATCTCAGTAAGTACATTAAGAAGCATGATTATATCTTTAATTATAATGCAAAAAAATAAAAATAATATGAGTATTATAATTTATTTGTTATAATTACATTGATGTAATTAAATTATTGAATTAATTTATCAATAATTTAATTTAATTTAATTTAAAAATATTACATTTTTACATTGTAATCTTTATTATACATATCCTTTGATGTTATACTTAAATTAATTTCTTTACTTAGTTTTTAATTTTTATTTATAGTTAATTTTGATAGGTATTTTTTAAATATAAATTGATATTATGAAAAATTAATAAAAAATAATTGTATAATGATTTTAATTACATATTTCGTACTTGTAGTAACATATCTTTCTTTATTCAAAGATTTTATATATGCTGTGACAAATGTCAAGACTGGTTCCACGGTCGATGTGTCGGTATTCTTCAATCAGAGGCCGACAACATTGACGAATATGTCTGTCCAAATTGTCAACGGAATTCCTCTGTTAATTTCGCTAATATGAAGAACCTCAATGCAAAGGATCTCGATCTGTTGAAGAAATTAATTAAACAAATACAGGTATATATACTTTCTCTTTATTGAAATATTATAGATAATTCTAAAAGCTTATGAAAAGGCTTTCTATATAAATTTATATAAGTATAAAATAGAATATTTATGGTGTATAAAGTGCAAGGAATATATATTTTTCTTCATTCAATTTTTTGATTAAAAGTTTAAAAATCAACTCGATAGAATTAATAGTTAATCACACTTTATGTAACTTATTTATTTAAGGCTCATAAAAGTGCATGGCCCTTTATGGAACCAGTAGATCCCAATGAAGCACCAGATTATTATAAAGTTATAAAAGAACCAATGGGTAAGTGTTGACTGTGACTTCAACAACTTCATTTCTTTTCGAATCATTTTGCTGTAAAAGCAGTTTTCTGAATATAATATATATCATATAAATAAAGTGTAAATTTACAAATATATGATTTTTTTTATATATATTTATTTTCATATGCATATTGTTTCAGATTTGCAAACTATCGAATTGAGAATAAATGATCGATCCTATAAAAAACTGAGCGAATTCATCGGCGATATGACGAAAATATTCGACAATTGTCGCTATTATAATCCTAAGGAGTCGCCATTCTTCAAATGCGCCGAGTCCCTGGAAACTTACTTTGTTCACAAAATCAAGAGTCTGAGAGAGAAATTTTCCGAAGGGAAGTAAATCAATCAAAATAAATAAACTCGGGGATATAGTATGTGAAATCGACTCAAAGTGGAAGTGCACGACAATTAATCTACTGTGCAGTGCATTTTTCACGCAAAACAGAACAGAGCATAGTTTGTGCCAGTACAGTACACTACACATAGACAAACTGAAACTCTCTCAGAATAGGCTTAAGTATGTAAAAGTAGAGAACGCACCGGTCTCCGCTATATTTATTATAGTTGTGTGAACATTTTCCTTTCTCCCTTCCTCTGCCTTCTTTCCTGTCCCCTTCCCTCCCTCATCTTTTGAAATTTGCGAATTCTGAGTTCCAATTATGCTATATGAAGCGTGAATTTTAAACCAGAACTTATAGCTTATGCCGTAAGATCTTATCTGCGAGATTTTTTTGCTACTAGTAATCAGAAGTAGTAATCAGAAAAAGAAGCCATATAGGATATAATTTAAAATAACATTTATTTAATTTTTTTAACTCTTATTTTTCGTATTAAAATATAATTATGTAATATAATTATCTGGTTTTTTTTATTACCAAAAGTATCTTTAATTCTTCATTATTGTTATTTTACCCATGGCAATAGAGGGTTTGATAGATCATAAGATCTACTTTGATTTAATTCTTCAGCTGTGATGATCAACATAGTATTTTTTCAAATCCTCTCTACAGTTTCTGCAACACATTAAATACTCCTATCACGTTTTTCTTTGAAGAGAAAGTAATGTTTAATTTTCGCCTTTGGTTTAGTTATCGCATATGTCTCATGAATGCAAGACTATTCACGAGTCATATAGATAGTGAACATGCTAAACACGAAATAAAACATACAAAATGGATTTTACAAAATACAGATTTACTTTATTCCCACATTATATATAACTTTTTCTCTGTTCTATAAAAATAAAAAATATATTTAAAAGAAAAAGAAGCTAACAATAAGTTGTATCACTTTTTGAAATCAATTTTAATGATGAAGTGATATCTGTGAAATTGTAATTTTTAAATTGCGAATTTATCTCATTTAACGAATAGTATCAATGAAATAAAATCGTAATGCTGAAAGTTTATTTTAAATTGCATCTAGAATTATTTATTTTGTTTAAAATTCTTTCAATGCAGGCGATATGTATGATTTTTTATGTGATATAATGATTCTCTCAGATATATAGAAAGGCAGAGAGATTGTTAATATATTAATTTGACGATCTAAGTTAAGAATCTAACTTGAATTCAGGACTGATTTAATCTGCACACATTTTGATTATAAAAAGTGCAATAGACAAGTTCGTATTTTTGTATATTAAATCTTTTTCTATATATACATACACACACACACACACACATGTATATATATATGTATATGTATGTATATATATATATATATATATATATACACATACATATATCATAGATAGATGAGTAAACGTCACATGTTTATTTCGAGTTTATGCAATAGTTGTAAGTTATGGTTCTCAGAATTCATGCGATATTCATCACGTTACGCTATTATTTATGTATGTACATATAATACGCGATCGTGATTTCACGCAAGTGAAATATGGTCCGAAATGCAAAGAAAAAGAAAGAAATAGGAGAATACACTCAATCATTCGAGAAGTAGTTTTCTCGAAATGGTTTAAAAAACTCCGCCACACTGCTATTCTTTTATAGCGTATCCAGTGTGAAAAAGAAAAGGATAAACAATTGTGTCACCGTATAGCTGTAAGACTATTTTTTAGAATTACACGCATAATATATAAATTGTACAAATTCATTTATCGTCTCGTGCTCACAAAGCTCTAACGATTACGATTATATTTACTTATGCATTATTTTAATCACATAAATAAATTTTCTATGAAATTGTTTATAATCGACGACTCACATTTAGGCATTTAGATTGTAAGGAACGAGCAGACAAGTCTGCTATGTATATATTTACGACACACACAATTACACATATGTGAAGAAAAGGAAGGTTCTCAAGAAGAGGCAATTGTAGAATTCTTTGATTTTCAAGCAAGGAGAAAATAAAAAGCAAATGAAAAGTACAGAAGAGTTTATTTCAATGAAACAATAAAAAGTATTGTTTTTGTATATTTTAGCTGTATTAGAGAAATAGAAGAGGAAGAAGAAAAGAAAGGAGGAAGAAATCTGTTGTAAAGATTTATTTGGAAAAAAAACACTTCGATTCTGTATGACTTGAAAAAATATGAGAGAGCGTTAGCAACACATGAATATTCCTTCGTGTTGAAAAGCGAATATATAAATATATATATATATATAAATATACAGAGATATATGCGTATATATATAAGTATTAGATGATTAAAGAATTAGAAGATACTATACTTTCAAAACTTGGATAATGTAATAACGAGAAAGCGAAAATAACTTGCAAAGCATGCTAATTTTTCTCATATAAACTTGTTTACAATTCTATGAACAGAAATGAGATTGAATAAAAATATGAAAGAGAGAGAAAATAATTTCAAGTATTTATACACATTTAAAAGTATCGTATTTTGTATTTTTATCTTATATTTATAATAAAAATATTTTTCTAAAAATATGGAAGATATAAAAGAGCAAAAATTATTTTAAGTTTTTATACATATTTGAAATTATATATGTGCTTTCGTGCGCATCTTATATTTATTTATTTAAAAAATAGTAAATACATATCACACATACAATTCTAATAAGTTTCAAAGTCTGTAAGATCTATAATCGTTTATAATTTTTAAGAAAGTATTCTTTAAATTTAAATTCTTTTAATTGTCTGTTCATAGAATAAGTGACAAAGTTAATAGGGGAGAAACTGAAATCATCCTGCACACATTAAATCGGTCCTAGAAAAGGCGAATTTCCACTCTAGAAGACTCCCGAACGAATCCCCGTGAATACGTTCGTTGTATATTGTATTATACATTTGTGCCGTGCATTTTTTCGTGTAAACGAAATCGACTCGTCGGCAAATCGCAAATGGTTTACTTGAAACGTGAAGAGAAGATGCAAATCGCTCAAAACAAGAGGAAAAGAAGAAAACAGGTTGTAAATTGTTCGTCAGAGTGTGTGTGTGTATGTGTGTGTAACGCTTGTACAGTATTTTTAATTCTAATGAGACACACACTGATCTGTTTTTTCTTTTTTATATATATCTTTAACGTTCGATTATAGAAAGAGAGAGTAATAATGCAAACATATATATATAGATTATACACTCTCCAGGTTTATACACTGACAATTGCAGTAAATTAGACTCGCAAAATTGTATAATTAGCAGGATATTTCCGAAAGCGTTTAGAAAGAAAATGCGGGATATTATATATTTATCTATATATATAATTATGTATATCATTATATTTAATATGTAATATATATCGTTATGTAATATATATTTTATGTAACGATATATTCATATGTAATGATATATATTTTGTTGAGATCACTTGAGATTTTTTATGCTATAGATACGCAAAAATAATCTTTAAGATTGATGTATCAATCTATTTTCTATCCAAAGCATCGGAAATTGACCTGAACAAAATGTTATATCACTATCGATCTCAGTTTAAAAATTAACAAGTATTTTTCAAGCCTCTATAACGAAATCTGTGGATTTAATCGGAAAAATTGTGACGCCAATATTGTGTAACACTCTGACATATAATAATCAAAATAGCAATTATTTAATAATTATAATGAAGATAACTAATATTTTATCAATAAAAGTTATAATGATTCATTCAACATCATCAATGTTTAACAACTTTTTGATCATTATAATCTTATTGGAACAGAGTAAAATCAATAAAAATCTTAACGTGTCAATCAGTTCTATCATTTTTCTGAAATGATAGAGTTGATAATATTGAAATATTAATAAGGATTAAGAATTAAGAATTCAATAGGATTAAGATGTCTTTCGGGAAATTCTCTTAAATGCAAAAGATGTGAATATAAACATATGAGTTCATATAGATATAATGTATAAATTATTTAATAGTGTGAATAAGTGTAATTTATGCAAGCAATTTTTATTTGTAAGATAAGATTGTGATGTTACGATTATTTCGATTAACTCAGCAATTGTCATTTAATTAAGTGTAAAGTAATAATTAATACAGCTCACATACGCGTCACTGAGTAAATTTAAATGGAATTTATTACAAAATGAAAAATAATACACCGACCGTTATTTGTTTACATGAGTCAAAATAACGCACTCCGAATGTATAGTGTACAAACCGGGTGAAGAAGATGCAGCTGTATTTTTTCTTTTTTTTCTGCATATCGACTATACTATTTGCTCTCTTTCTCTGCTGTTCGATAATTAAACATGTAATAAGATATTTAATTTTTGTTGAGAAAAGAGGAAGAGAATACAACAACAACAACAACAAAGCGTGATTATATATAAGTATATATTGTCGGAGAACCTAATAATAATAATCTATTCTCCAGTTTATAATGAAATATATTTGTACTAATTTCGATCGAACTTTGTTGTTTTTATTGTACTGTATATTCGATTAAAGAATGGAAGAGAAAATATATATGTTAACTTTTTCTAATTTGTAATTGCTTCGGAAATAAAAAAAAACTACTAAATGACAAGATGACTTTAATGAAAGAGGAAAGAAGATTCGAAATTTTTCGTAATGCAATTTGTAAGTTCTTTTTCGTAGCTATAATTGCAAGAAATTTGTATCTAAAATCCGAGCGAATTATGTTGTACAATAAGGAAACACAGAGAGTTTTAGTTTTAATGTATTTTTTTGTCATTTCCGAGTCTCGTTAATTTTCTTCATTTTTTAAAATTGTGAGAGAGAAGAAAAAAATTACAAATGTCAAATAATAAAAAAAAAATATTTCATATTTCCCGGCAGTAAGGTCACGTGAGAATCGATAGTGAGTGATCGATAGTGCAAATCGGCACTAAATTCATTTCGTACAAAAATTTCGTAAAGGCACAGATTAATAGACAGATCGCCAAAGGTCTGGATGAAGGAGAGACCAGCATTTCTCACTGATTTCAGCGCCATATCGTAGTAGTGGTCAATGCAGTAACTATTAATACGTTCCCAAGATAAGAGCGTCTCATGCTCATGAACTCGTCCGGCGGCATGTACGAGATTTATCTTTTCGTAGCGTTCGCGTATTTCGGAAAGGACAGAATTTTATGATGTTATAAATAAATAAATAAATAAAATATTAACCTGACCTATTATAATTATTTTTTAATAAATGTTTCATTATTATTATCATCTAAGTCTAAGTCGTTTAATTAATTTTTAGTTTTTTAATAATAAATTTAATTTATTCTAATCATTTTAATATGTGAAAAATACTAATACGTATACGTTTTATAATGAATTAATATATTTCGAGAGTCGAATTATATATTTTTAATAATATAAAAGTGTTCAAAAATTATATTTGACTTTTAATTTTAATTATTTTAGCAAAGAGTT